CTGCCAGGGCACACCCAAGCTGTCCTATGAAGGGCAAGTGGTGTCTCAACACTTGCTTGGAAGCAAACTCTGGAAGAAGTGAAAACTACAGCATTGTGCTCTGTAACTACCTCTGTATTACCAATTACCACTGTGCTCTGGAACTACCACAAGAAACCAAATCCAAGTTTTTGTTTAAAAAGGCAATTTCATGTTAGTACTTCTTTAGCTGCCTTTTAAATGGTTGATTCAGCACTGCAGTATTGTCTGTAGTGCACTAAATAAGTCTGTTGAGCACTAAATATGCTTGAGTAATTGAATTTACTCTGGGAGATGGTGATAAAAGGTACTGTCATCTGTTCTCAGCTTACTCAGCAGCAGGCAGCAATAATTTGCTTTTTTGGAAGGTGATTACTCCAAAGACATCCCAACACCTTTGGAAAGTGGAACCTGGGAAGATCATCCCGTTTCACAGAACCACAGAACAGTTTGAGCTGGAAGGGACTGTTAAGTTAGGTCTGAACAGTAACTTCTATTTGAGTTGTACTCAACTGCAGGTTTGTGAAGCTCACAATGTGAATTGTGCATCTTCAATCTGTTTTGGGTCTAAGCCTCAAGAAACTTAGCAAACATAATCAAAATCCTATTAATTCCATATAAACCCCCACTCAGGGACTTTGACTTTACCAGCATTGCTGTAACCTGCCTAGGAGATTTCAGCTTTCTCCTCAGCAGATTCCAAACCATTTCCCATTCTTGCTCTCCTCTTAAAAACAGACCACAACTGAATTTGCACTCCAGGATCACCCTCCCACCCTCCCTGGCCACAATTTCCATGTTCCCATTTCCAGTGCTGGTTTCCAGCTGTCCCAGAGGGGTTTGGTGCCATAACCTGGGTTTCACAGGGTTTTCTCCACAACCAGCAGAGTCAGGGACTGGATCCTGGGTCAGGGAGAGGACCATAAATCTGGACTTAACCAGAGTTCCAACTCTGCTATTTTACAAGGGGGACAAAAAGGCCTTTTGGGGACCAGCACAGGCAGCTGGACAGGGAGGTGAGGGTGGGGAGTGACCCCCAGCCCCTCCTGCACCTCAGGGCCTCACACGGCTCTGAACTGGTGACCCTTCAGCAACACTTGTAGGGTCATCAGGCCACCAAAATGTGTCTGAGCTTCTTTAATAGGACTATATTGACAAACCAAACTGTTTATTGATGTTTTTCATGAAGGTTTTCATAGTTTCCTTGGAAGGATTTATCAGTCAGATTCTGGTTTTGGTCAATGCGAGGCAAAAATTCTCTTTCCATGAAAGAATGCATGGTATGTGCTCAGCAGGCAGAGTTTCACCCAGCTCTGGGTGCAGATCCATGGTATGAGCCCCACTCAGCCCAAGAGCATCTGACCCATCTCCTCACCTGGCCAAAGTGACACCGACTCGTCATGGGGCTCCTTGTCCTCACCCCTCAGTTCCCCTGTGTCCCCCTGGCCCCATCTGGGACAGGTCACCTGCTGTGCCTTCTCTTGCTTGCTTCTGGAGACTTCTCACTCTGAGGAGGCACCTTGAACACAGAAAGGAACAAAAATTATAAATTGAGGAGGGGTAGAAATGAGGGCAGGGAATCAGGTGAGACCCTGGAGGAAAAGAAGATGTCCCAACATCCACATCTCTGCCCCACAGGCTGGGCTGCCCTGCCCGTCTCAGCCCTCTCTGCTCCTGCTCTAGGACAAGATTGACTTCCTCAGGCTCACCTCTGCTTCTCCAACAGGGCTGGCACTGTCCCCTCTGGCCCCGGCACCAGGAAATTAGGTCCCACTGTTGGGTGACTGCTGTGAGGGATGAGTCCCAGCAGGGACAGCCTGGACTTGTCACACAGATTTACAGCCAGAAAGGAAAATGTTACCATCAGGAGGAAAATAGAAATGCGCTTCAAAATAAGATAAAATTGGCGCCTCTGGAATAGTGATGGGAGAATGCAAACAAGTGTGGTGTGTGTTAGCACTCCCTGAGTCCTCTCCCACAGAGCCTGGAGGGCTCAGCCCACTGTCAGCTGCCGAGCAACATGGGAGGGTGGCAAAATCTGCAGGCAGGAGAGTGAATTTTCCTGTCTTGTGCACGACAAGGTGGCAGCCTCAGGGCTGAGAGGACTGCAGACTTGCAACAAGCTGAATTGTGCATTTGCCCTGGTTTCATCCCCTCATGTCTCTCTGCACAGAGAAAATTCCCCCACTTTGTTTCCTCTATCAATCCTGGCTCTCCACCTTTGGAGCCCCAGGCATGAACCAGCTATGTGTGACCTCACTAGAAAAAACTCCCTCTGGCTCCTTCCACTCACGTTAGTAATTCCCTGACCTCATTTCAAGCTTTGCACCTGGGCCAGAACCTGCTGTGCTCTCCTTGGATGGGGAGAGACGTGTCCCAACTGCTCCTGAATGAGCAGGTTGGGAGCACGTCAGCTCCTGCCAGTGCTCCAGGGTCTGAGACACCAGCCTGACTCATTGCCACACCTGGCTGTGGTAATAGGTGGCCAAGGAGCCCATGGCACCAACCTAACCTACCTCAGCACTTTAAACCAACCAGTGGTTTTGTGGGATTTTTTCTGGGTTTAAGCGTTTAACAGCAGGGGGAAGCCTGACGTGGAGAGAAGTGTGGGCTTGGCTTTTTATGTAGTGCTTGTAGCATTTGGAAAATTATCCTCTGAGTACTAAATGTCTGAGTCATCCTGGGATAGCACTGCATCTACTTTTAGATGTTACCATGTGCTCTCCTCTGCCACAGTTTGTGAGGTAAGAGTCTTTTAAACCGTCAGGAAAATGGTGCTCATGCTCTTCCTCTTCTCTCTCTGGGCTTTGGAAACTTCAGGGGAAATCAAAAGGGGTTTTTATCCTCTTAATGTCAATTAGCTGAAAAGGTGAAATACCTTGTGATGAAGCCACAGGTGGTTTGAGAGTGCTGTCTGTGTGGTGCCCATCCTGCCTTTTCCAGTGAAGCCCAGTTCCTGGAAGCCCAGCAGGACTCACGTGCCAGGGTGTTTGGCCACCCTTACAAAGGTTAATATTTATCAGAAAGATCTTCCTCAGTCACCCTGCCTACTAGCCCACGTGAGAAGAAAATTCCCTGTGCAGAAATTCCAGCTAATTTGGCAATGAGGGGAACAGGGCTGGGAGAGGCTCCAAATCCCCTGAACAGAGCACGATGACAACGCGTGGGCACTCAGGAGATACCCTGGCACAGCAAGTCAGGCTCGTGGCACCAAGCTGGGGAGCTGCTGGTGGCACAGGGCATCATCCCCTGCCAGGCCCTGGGTGCTGCAGTGGCTGGTGGCAGGGGAAGCCTGGCAGTGAGTGCAGAGCTCAGGCTGGGCCATCTCATTATTTAATCCCCCTCTTCCTTCACCAAGCTGAGCTCTGTGCCCCCCACTGCAACCTGCCAAGGCACAAGGGTGCCAGACACGTGCCCTAAGGAGGGTTGGACATGTTAGACCCTCATTCAGTGTGGGAGGCAGATCCTGCACCAACAGCTCTCCATCCCTGCTCCCCTTCAGAGCAAGGACTCCAAATCCTTTGTGCTGAGCAGGATAACTGCAATGCAGCAGGATGGGAATCCCTCAGGGAGCTGCAGCCAACGCCGGAGGCTCCGGCTGCTCCAGCCTTCAACCCATCAGCACTGGGTGTCCTGCCTTGCTCTCTGCCTTGGAGCAAAGTGCTGCAGCTGTGCTTCAGTTCTCACAGTGCTGATGGAAACCCTCCTCATGTCCTGCCCCAGCTGCTCTCAGACCATGCCAGTGGCACTTGCTCCTGCCAAGGGACTGGGAGAAGTGATGCTCAGAGACTGAGCTGCATCCCACTGGGATAGAGCAGCTTGGGAGGGCAGAGATCAGACATGGTAAAAACTGAGCATTGGGAAGGGGAGTTCTGGTGCCCTGTGAAGCTCCTTAGCAGGATTTCAAGGCCAGGCTTGATGAAGCTTCAAGGAGATTGGCAGGACTGAGGGGATTCCCAGGATCAGCCCAAGCTCAACGCAGAGGGGCGAGTGCTCCCCTCAGATCTTTTCAGCCATTTGTGTCTCTTCTTCCCTGGCTGAACTGACCCACGACAATGCCAGGGTTGCTGAGCTGCTTCATCCTCAGAGCCCAAAACTGGGATGAGACATTTCAAGTCTGAGATCCCAGTTCAAGCCTGTGGTGCCAGGCAGGTGTGAGCAGACATCCAGGGACTCCCCGGCTCTGGAGCAGTGAAGAGGCAAGCACTGCCCCTTGGGATCATCCCCTGTCATCCAGACTGCCATGGATTAACTTGTCACTGCAGCAGGAAGAGCCTGGGATGTGTCTGTGGGCAGCAAGGGGAGGGTAAAATTCCCTTCTTCCCCCCACAGCTGCCTTGCACGAAGGAAGTGCGGGGGCACTTTCATGCAGCACTTGCTTCAGAGAGCTTTAAACAGCTTCAAGCTGGGGGGAAATATCTTCTGAACCACAAACTATTCCTGGCATTGGCTCAACTAAAAAAGAGCTATAAAAGGTCAAACTCATTCACAGCATAAAATGTAGCTCTGCATCATCATTGCTACAGGCTGGAAAATGCCAGAGAGGGTCAGTCTTGTTGACTTCCCTAAGCAACATCTGTTTAAAAAAAACCTCCTGCAGTCAGCAGAACTGCCCCAAGCCCAGCTGTTGGCTGACTGAGCACATAGCCAGGTTTGGGGACAGAGCTGGGGCTCAGGGGGGCACAGCTGGGCTGACCCAAGAGACAGGAGTGTCACCTGGCCACAAATCCCAGTGCAAACTGTCTGCATCCCGCTGCCACACAGCCAGGCTGGGACTGTGTGATCACAGAATCCCAGAATGGTTTGGGCTGGAAGGGATCTTCAAGATCATCTTGTTCCAATGCTCTGCCATGGGCAGGAATGCCAACATGTGGAAAAGAACGTGGGAAAAACAGACAAGGGTAAGCAGGGTCAGATACAACGTCTGGGACTCCCAACACCACCTCCAAGTGAGACTAGGAAAGGACTCAGGTGAAAGAGAGTTGTACTATAAAATAACTTCTTTGGTTTCTTTCTTTAGAAAACAGGTATAAAAACAGGTAGTTAAGAAATAAATTTCAAGCAACCTGTACCAGTGAGTTTGGGGCATCCTCCCCTTTCCTGTGCCTCAGCAGCAAACTCTCTTCTCAAACAAAAGCATGACAAAAATCGCAAGCAAATCCTCAGTGGGAAATACTGTTAAATGACTAAAACCCCCAACAAGCCCAAACTTACACAGTTTAAAACAAAGCCAAACAGTTTTCTATATAGGGGACCATGTTCTTCCCCAGAAATAATGACCCTCAATGCAGGTTTTCCTTCTGATAAAATATTGACTCTTGCTGAGGGCTGGAAAATCAGTGGCCAACACCTGGTGAGCTCCCAGGAGCTGCCCCAGCCTCTGGCAAGGGGATGCTGCTGCTGCTGCTCACACATTTTATCCTATTCCACCCCATCCCATCCCATCCCATCCCATCCCATCCCATCCCATCCATCAGCAGTGACACAGCTGCCGTGGCACGAGGCCACTCCATCGCTCATCTCTCACGCTACTTTTCAAGTTATGTCTGGAAAGATGAATAAATTAATGAAGCCTCAGAAGACAAAAACCAAGACAAAGAGCACCCAAAAAGTCCAGTTCATGCTCTCAGGAAGCGCTCACGGACTTTCTCCTCGATGGAGTGGAGCTTGACCACGCGCAGCGCGACCAGCAGCTCCTTGGTGACTTCAGAGTCCTCCTGCTTCTTGTGAGTGAGGAAAGCCCGGAATTTCTCCTGGATGGCTGCCCTGGTCCATGCTGCCTGCTTCTTTGGTGAGCGCTCCAGGAGCTGCTGCAGGCGCTTCAGCTTCTTGACGGGGATGTTCTGATACACCACAAAGTCTATCATGGCCTGAGCGCAGTCGTCATCTTCTGCAGCTGGGGGGAAACAGCCCGGGGGTTAAAGGGGCATGGGACAGCAGGGCACAGCCCTGCCAAGGCTCTCTGTGGGACATCTGCCCAGGGAGCTGGTGAATGGCCTGGAAGCGTTCAAGGCCAGGTTGGATGGGTGATGGAACAACCCGGTCTGGTGGAAGGCTGAACTTCCTATCAGGGATGCATCCTCCATGGGGCAGTTGGAAAACAAGGGGTAGTAGTTCTGTAGAAAGTCAGTGTACCTATTCCATGCTCCTCCCCATCAGGGAAGAGAGGAAAAGCCCAGACAAATCTGATGCAATTGCACTAATTATTTACACATTCTTTTTCCTGAGAGTTTCTGTTTTCCCCCACAGATCTGTAACCCTTGCAACAGGCCCAGCCCCAAGCACAGCCCCAATCAGGGCTCTGGGATGGGGCAGATCCGGCCCCAGCTGGTGGAAGCTGCTGGAGTGCATCCAGCACCAGGAATGAAAACAGAAAGAATTTTCAAGAGGTCAAGGCCAAAGGATTACTCAGTCAGGGAGAGATTAGCCCAGTTTCATGCCACTGCAAATTGGGAATGGTTTCAGTGGTTACAGTGGGGTGGGTTGAGCTCCACTGCTCCAGCTCTGCCTCTCCAGCAGGCTCAGCTTGGTGATGAGCAGATCCCTGTGTGCCTCCTGAGAGGAAGCACAATAAACTGGAGTTAAAAAAACCCTTCAGCTCCCATTGCTGGGGCCTCCTCCCTCTATAAATATCTGCAAAGGGCTGGTCTGGCTGCGGGGGTGGTGCCTGAGGCACGTGCTGCTGACACTGCTCTGACCTGGCCATCCCCACCCCGGGACTGCATCCCAGTGACGGAGCTTCCCAGCCTCTGTGTCAGGATCACACTCCTGGCAGGCAGCTCATGGTGTGAGTCAGGCTTTGCAGGGAGAAATCTCTGCGCTGGTGGTGCCAGGAGAGTGTGGAAAAGTGAGAGCTGCCAGGTGGGGGGGAAGCTCTACGTTCCCTCACCGCAGAGGAAAATCTTTTAGAGCCATGGGATGTCCTGAGTTGGAAGGGACCCACAAGGTTCATTGACTCCAAGTTCTGGCTCTGCACAGACCACCCAAAACCCCTACAACAAGCCTGACAGCTTTGGCCGTGACCCTTCCCTGGGGAGCCTGTTCCAGTGCCTGACCACCCTGTGGGTGAGTTTCTTTAGAGCTTTTCTACCAAGCTTCATCCTGATGGAAAAATGACATTTTTTCACTCCAGATCAACCTCCCCTGGATGTGATGAGGTCCCCGTTGCTTTTCAGATCTTCAGGACATGGCACTGGATAATCTCATCCAGGCTCACTTTCCCATTAAAGGTTGGACCAGATAAATTTTCCAAGTCCCTCCCACCGGAGCTCTTCTATGGCTTTACGACTGATTCTATTTTTGGAAGCCTAAAGGTGAAGGGACACTGCCAGCTGGACCAATTACACGAAATTAGTTTCCCATGTCTGGATCCTCAGGGTGGAGCAGGTGGTTCCAAACAGCTTCCAGCCTCATCTCAGCTGGCATCAGGCCCTTGGGATGGGTCTGGGGGCTCTTGAGATGGTTTTTCAGTCCCTCTCTCACTCCCTAACTTGGGGAGGGAGCGTGTTACAAAGCACCCTTGGAACAGAGCCTTTTTCTCTGCCCTGCACCTCTCCCCTGCTTTTTTTGCCAAGGAAGATTGAACCAAATGGTCCTTGAGGTCCCTTCCAACCTGGAATTCAGGGTTGGAATTCAGGGATTCAGGATTCAGGGATTCTCTGATCTGTGCCCATTGGCTGTTCCTGCCCAAGAAACATCTCTGCCACAGCTCAGCACTGTGGCATCTGCACCACCATGATTGACACCACATCTCCACTTTGACACCTGATGGGTCAAAATCCACCCCACACCAGCTCCAATAAACCTTGGGCTCTGCTCCACTCAACCTGCACAAGACCAGGCTGCCATAAAATCTTCCAGGTGCAGGTCCAGCCAGGGAAAGGGAGTGCAGGAGCTGTGCCAGCAGCCAAGCTGAGTGCCTCAGCTGCCAAAATCCCCTGTCCCAGCATTCCCAGGTGTCCCTGGTAAGATCCAGCAGGATTTCACTGTCAGCTCTTTGTTCTCACTGGGCAGTGACTGTTCTTAAGCCCAGCACCCTGTCCTTGCTCTATGGGACTGACACTGGAAGGAATGAAGGGAGACAGACTATTTTATCCACAATTAATTATGGATCACTCCATGTTTTTACAAGCCATTTCACCTCATTTGCATCTAAGTAGGAGAGAGTCATGAGGAAGTGTGCCCTCACCCTGGCAGCATCAGTCCTGGCAGGCTGTGCCCTGGCTCACCTGATTCCTGTGTGCTGTTGCCTCTCCCTGGCCTGCAGGACATGCAGAGGGTGTCGTGGTACTTGTTGCCCTGCACGTTGGTCACCTTGCCCTGCTGCTCACAGTCCTGGTGTGGCTGGCATGGACTGGTGCTGGACTGGGAGGAGAAGAAGCCGTGGGGGCAGTCATGGCACTGGGTGTCCTCAAAGGGGGTACCTGTGCATGGGGAGACAACGGGACTGTCAGGGGACAAACTGGCAGAGGTGGCAGCTGGGGATGGCGCCAGACACCATTTGAGCACGAGGGTGAGGTTTTGGAAGTGATCACTGCCAGCATCTCCCCTGGGAATTGCATGTCCTCACACAGGGCAAACAGCAGCGCTTCCTTCACTGTGCTGATAAACTGTCAGCAGCCCACAGACAAGAGAGGACAACAAGAGGACATCTCACTATGAAAAGGCCACCTCCCAGGCAGGGGCCAGCAGCCAGGCTGGTGGCTGAGCTGCCGAACCAGCCCCTCTGTTCCCAGAGCCCTTCTGTTCCCAGAGCCCCTCTGTTCCCAGAGCCCTTCTGTTCCCAGAGCCCTTCTGTTCCCAGAGCCCTTCTGTTCCCAGAGCCCTTCTCCCCAGAGCCCGAGGCTCCCGAGCAAGTGAAAGCAAAACTCCCAGCGGAGGTGAAAGCTGAGCTGTCCTTGGCCGCGCTGTCGCTGCTGCCCCCCTGCCCCGGGCCAGCGCTTGCCGTGTCACAGGGCTGGTGCCACACGGGCAGGACCGCACCGAGCAGCATTCCCGTTCTCTGGGAATGTCGCTCTGGGGCAGGAGAATTCCCACCCCTTTCACCTCCTCCTCACTAATCAAATTACAAGCAGTTCCTACGTTGTTGCTGCCGCCTTTAGGCTCTCCCAAAATCTGATCTTTCAGGTCCCTCCCAGCCCAGCCCATTCATAAGGCCCAGCCATAACCTGCAACATCTGAGCCACTATTTACAAATGGGAAATCCCAAAGTTGGTTTTCCCGGGGGATTGCGCAAGGATCAAAGCCCTCATCCAACCCAAACAGCAGCAAACTCTCCCTACAGCCCCCCACGACCCCTTCCCCACCCAGGCAGCAGCACTGGCAGGTCCAGGGCTGTGCCCACCACACTGGACACTCAGTCCTTGCTGTGGTGTTCATGTGGCTGGGCTGGGGGGAAATCCTCCCCTCATAAGAAGCCATTTGCAAAAAATAAATAATAATAACAAAAAAACCAGCTTCTCCTCAAATACCCAGCTCGCTTGCATGGCTCCTCAGTCCTAAAGCCAACCCTCCAGACAAATTTCATGTTTAATTTCAAAGCGCTTTCCTGTAATGCCTGGAGGTCTTCTTCCCCCTTTGCTGTGTTACTGCATTTTGTCTTGTCCTATAGAAAATTAAACCCCAGATCTCAATCATAAACATCAGCTGAAGACAGCAGACATTTTCCCCATGGCTGGTGAGCTGGAGCTCTTCTGTGCCACACATGGAAGGCTTTCAGAAGACTCCATGCTTCAAAAGCCTCCCTGTTTCAAAGTGTGCAGTAGGATGCTGCTGGGTCTGCTGGTGCTGCCCACACTGTGGTTTCCAGGCAGAGCCTGGTCCTCATTGACTGATGAGTTTACACACATTTGGAACAATTGAAGGACCAGAGAAAACTGGGGAAACAACAGGAGCATAAATCCCCTAAAATACCTTGGGACTTAGATCACACAAGAAGATGGAATCTCAGACTTGGGAGTCAAAACAAAGCTGGGTTTGTGGATTTGGAACCTGGCTGTGTGTCCACTGTGTGTTTTCAACACAGCCTCTCCAAACTGCTCAATCAAAAACCACAAAACTGGCCCTAGAGCTACACACATTCCCCAGCCCTGCCCTTACATCATCAGCCACCTTCTTCAGCCCAGATAACCAGCATTCCCAGCTCCCGGGCTGCCTGCGAAGGAGAAGGCAGCTGATGAATGGTCAGGAGCAGCCTGGACCTTCCCACTGCCTGTGGAGCAGGGCCCGTGGCTGCTCCAGGGATGGCCAAGTCACAGCCTGGCTGTGCCTGCTGTGGCAGGTGAGGCAGGCAGCTGGGACTGGCACATCCCATCCGGGTGTGCTGCTGGGGATTTCAGAAGCTTTCAAAGCGATAGCTGGGGGAAAACCCAACTAAATTCCTCCTTGGAAAAGAGGCAGGAGCACGCTGGCAAGGAGGGCTCTGTGCCAGTACCAGAGCTGGCAGGGAGTCGGTCAGGCTGTGGGCAAGCACCGGCTGCTGTGTTTTTGGCTGCTGATTTGTCCTTGATTTTTATCTCCCGCGGAGATTTTGGGGCGTGACAAGAGCCGTGTGAGCTCGCACAGCTCCCGAATGACTTACCCGGCCTCAGGGCCCCGGAGCCCGGCGGGCACTCGGAGTGCCGGAGGCAGAGCTCCATGTTGGAGTAGTAGCCCTGCTGGCACTGGCAGGCGCGGTTGTGCGTGGCGTTGCACTGCTGCACCTCCACCTGCCGCTCCCCGCAGATGACGTTGCAGTAGCGGCACTTCTCCAGGTAGTTCCAGTACTGAGTGTAGTGCAAATCCGGGCAGGGCTCGCACAGCGTGGCTCTGTCCCTGGAGCAGTGCTGTGCCACGAAGGTCCCCGGCGGGCACTGCTGGCATGTGATCCTCTCGCCCGTCGCAGCATCCTTCCACTGGTACGTGGGCTGGGCATCGCAGGCGAGCTCGGCCAGCAAGAGGAGGAGAGGGGGGAGCATCCACTACGGCAAAGACAGCGCAAAGAGCCCTGAGCTCGTCCTCAGGCAGAGGCGGGAGCAGCCAACGCGGCTGATGCTGTTACAGAACTTGTTATTGTTGTAGATACAAGAAATTGTTCTCCCTCCCTACGCTGTTCCCAGCCCAAGCACTAAGTGCTGCCCTCCTCTGCCATCCCAGGTGACAGAGCATCCTTCCCAAACCCTTTGTGATGCATTCAGAACCAGCATCCCTCACTCAGAACCTGGAGCAGCTCCAGCACATTCCCCTCCTTCACCCCAGTCAGTTCCCCACCACTGCAGAAAGAGACACCTCTGCAAACCAAGAAGCAGAAGGGAAGTTTTCCAAACTAGCAGATACAAAGCATGCTCCCTAGGACATTTAACATTTTAGAAACCCAGCTGCTCAGGACAGGACTGAATCCCAGAGCTTGCTGATCCTCCCTTTCCTCTCCAGAGCCCACGTGCCCAGCCCAGGCAGAAGATCCCTTACCTTGGGCGGATGCCTCAAACTCGGCACGTGGCAGGATGGCATCGCACCGAGGGCTTCCGAGCGCCGGGATCAGGAACCTGGGGAGACAGAGAGGGCTCCTCAGAGGCTGCTGCTGCCTGCGCCCGGCTCCTCTGCAGCAGCACCTTCCACCCGACCGGCCAGGGTAAAACAGAGGGAGATGGGGAAGGGCTGATAGGTAAAGGCTGATAAGGAAGGGGTGATAGGGAAGGGCTGTTGGGAAAGACTGGGTTTCCTCGCCTGCTTTCTTCCGAGTCAGCCCTTCCTGGGAGGGAGATGCCGGCTCTCCCAGCGCAGGGACGGGGCCGAGCCTTATAGCGGCGGCGGGCGGGAGGCTCCGGGCACCCCCGCAGAGCGGAATCCAGCACACGTGGAACCGCCCGGGGGAGGGAAACCACCCCCAGCCCACCCTAGCCCAGAGGGAGTAAGAGCTGGCGGGGAAGCAGCCAAGATTTCCTTTCCCACCCCATCCCATCCCTCCCCATCCCATCCCTGGGGACCGGCCCCGCTCACCGCACCTCCGCCTCGCACCTCTGCTCCCCACAGCCAGCAGCGCCTTTATAAACCGGCCTGTGGGAAAGACCCCTCTTGGGCAAGGGGAGGTGACATCCACCCCGGCCCCGGCGCCATCCCGGCCCCTTCCCGGTGCCCCGCCGCGGCCGCACCGGCTCCGCCTTCGCGGCCCGGAGCCCTCCCTCCCCCGGCGCTTTCGCTCTCGTTTCCGAGCGCGCCGCTACAGTGAAGCTTTCGGAGCAAGGAGGTTTGTTTACCTGTGCGGAGGAAGGAGGAGAGCGGGATTCGCACGGTTTTTCAAAGCTCTCTAAGTTTTACAGGGGGCTGGTGAGAAATCGTTTTCTGGCAAGGGGAAAGGCAGGGAAATTCCCCTGTGAACGTTCAGTTCCCCGGCGGTGAGCGCCGAAGAACTTCCCAGTAAGAGCAGCTGAGTTCTCCCCGTCTCAGGCAGCCCCGAGGGGCGCTCCCGGCTGCGGCTGCGGGCGGTGGCACCGGCGCCGGGGGAAGCATCGCTCCGGCTCTGCCCGGCGGCTCCGGGGCCGGGTCCCATCCCGCCTCACCTCCGAGGGCGCTGACCCTGCCAAAACAGCCCCGATCGTCGGTGCTTGGGCACTGCATTCCTTCAGCCCTGTCCTTTCAGCATGGCACCACCTCCACCTGTGACACTGAACGCGGGCACCTTTAGTGGCACAGCACCCAGCAGCTGAGGAGGTCAGCACTTAAATCCCTCACAGGTGACGGTGCCCCAAGCCTTGGAGCCCAAGGATTCAAATGAAAACTGAGCTCAGCCTTGCAGGTACAGCCTTGGCAGACCATGTGTTCCAGTGCCTGCTGCAAGACATGGAACTCCTGCACTTTGTCCTGCTCTGTCGCACCAGATTCCCTCTGAGCAGACATTGCTGAACAGCCAAAACCAGAAAAATGCTCAAAAAGCAAATGCAAGTCTCTGCAAGGATGAGGGAACCACAGTGAGGACCTGAGAGGATGTGGAGGTTTTTTTCCTCAGGAATCAGCAGCCAGCTCCTCTTGCAGATCATTACAGAGAATTAACAATTCTGCCTCTGTCACCCAGCTCAGCCACTGGGGCTGTGGATGGAGAATCTCGTGGACTTTATTCTGAACACTCTTAAAGTTCAGACCTACAAGAGTTAAACACACCTTTCACCAAGAACATCAAACCCAGTTCTCCACAACCCAGAAAGAGAAGGAAACCCCACTGGTCAGAAAGAATCCAAAGCTCCTTCCAGTAAGGTCCGTTTCTACCCACCTTGGTTAAAAAAAATCCTCTGACTCCAGCAGGAGCCAAGGGGGGTCAGTACTACAGTCCAGCAGCAGGGTCTGGCTGTGTTTATTTGCACTTCACACAGAACAGGCGATGGGCTGATTAACACAGGCCACTCTAAAGTGGTTTTTCATTTTACTGCTTGTTTATCTCGATCCCCTGTAGCTGTCCAAAGTAATCCTGATGATTTTTGACTCATTTTGACATAATCCCTGAGCCAAGGACTGCCAGGATTTTGCTCTGTCAGTGTGCATCAGCTCAGTAATTAATCAGCTAATCTGCCAGCCCTGCTCTGGCACTGAGGCACAGCCCCTGGATGGTTTTTTGGGTGGGTTGCAATAGAAAGCCCTGCCCTGGGCTCACCCAGCTGGGGAGTTTCAGTGGGATCCCTCTGCCTGAGGCTTTGACCACCCAGGAGCTGCAGAGTGTTTCCTTCTCCACAGGCAGAAACACAATTTCAGTTTTCTGCCCCTGGATTTCACATGGAACCCACAAGGTGTATGAAACAATAGCAGCTGGTGACACCTGAATGGCACCTGCTGGCAGTCCCTGTGTCCCAGCCATGCCCCTGCTGGATGGACACAATGCACTGGGGAACCCTGAGCCCGCAGCTCCTCGCTGCACTGCGATGCCTCATCAACAATTGTTTTTGTTGTGAGTTTGATAACGACAAAAATGTGTCAGATGGACGCTCCTGGAGAGCAAACACCACGTTAATGGGACAGAAAGGGCTTCCCCAGACAACATCCTCAGACTCCAATGACCTTTGATTAATCTTTTTCTGCCTGTTCTTCTGTTGGTCCAACAAACCCCAGAATGGGTTCAGGGGTCACTGCCTGAGTACCAGAAAGCAGCAACACAACTCACTGCTGACTCTGGGAGTGGAGGTAGCACAGAAATGGAATTCAGCATCCCATTGCCATGGCTCTGGCTTCACTTCTCCACACAGGGCATAGTTTCACACTCCAGGGCATCCAGCAGCACCACCTTCCAAAACTACACTTGCAAAATAAGGTTTCTTGTTATATCATAGAAAATTCTGTTAAGCAAAGAAATCCCTTGCTTCCCATCAGTAATCACTTTGCCAGCCAGAGACAGGGCTTATCTCTTTCCTGATGAAACATTTTGCTTTGCTGATTTTGGTCTCTTTTGTGAGTCTTCAGTTTCTTGGGTGGCGGCGGGGGAGGGAACAGCAGGAAAGGTTTGTTCAGTGACACACCAAAATGTTCTAGGTCTAGTCATAGCACTGCAAGGCAAGGGAAATCAAAAAATCAGTACCTACTTCCTTCATGATCTGTAAGCCATGTGTCATTTGCTTCTGAAACGCAGCAAGGAGTGTCTAGGGAAAGGTTTTTGTCCCCCAAGAATTAAGTAATTTGCATAAATTCTTCTAAGCACCTAAAGCAATACAGATTTTTCTGAAAGAGTTTTCTCACTTTCTGTTCCTTATAATTAATTGTCCCTGTCTTTCCTTCTTGTAAATTCAACAAGTTTCTAGACAACAGAACAGTTCTGCCTGCTGGGGTCCCTCTTCTTCAAGGTCTCATGGAATCACAGCAGGGTTTGGGTTGAGAGGGTCCCAAAGCTCACCCAGTTCTCCCATCTCCAGGACCCCTTTGCATCCATCTGTCCTGCCCCAGCCACCAGCAGCAGGGATTGATTCCCAGATCCCCTGCAGTGCAATTCCCAGTGCACCAGAAATCAGCACCAATCCCAAACCAAACCCATCTGCACTGGCAGATCCACTGGTGGGACACTGGTGTGTCCAGAGCTTGTCTGGGTGGGTGCAGCTGGTGAAGGGCAGTGACTGTAAACCTCTTCAGCAAGACAATCCCTCTGCTGGAGAGTGAGAGATGGAGAGAAGGAGTTCCCTGGACAAAGGGATGGAACGTTCTGGGTGAAGGGAGAGAAAACCCTCAGCAAGTTTTCCCCTCCATGTAAGAAAGGCAAGGAGCTACTGGAGAGGATCCAGCAGAGGCCACAGAGGTGATGAAGGGCCTGGAGCTGAGCCTGGTTATTACGGAGAGGCTCAGAGGGGTCATCAATGCACAGAAATATCTCCAAGGGGTGCCAGACTCTTTTTATGGTGCTCAGCAACACGACAAGGAGCAACAGCCATAAAATAATACTCAAGAATTTTCATCTCAACACGGGGAAGAGCTTTCCATGGAGGTGGCAGAGCACTGGAACAGCTGCCAGGGAGGGTGTGGAGTCTCCTCTGGACATTCCAAACCATCCTGGATGCATTCCTGTGCCCCCTGCTCCAGGTGACCCTTCCTTGGCAGGGGGTTGGACTGGGGGATCTCCAGAGCTCCCTTCCAACCCCAACCTGAGATTCTGCGAATCTCTTGAAGGCTCTGAGATATCCTTAGCACTGCTCCTCTGCCCTGCCTCAGAACAGAGCATCCCCAGGCTGGAACAGCCTTCAGACTAAAACAACTCCAGGAAAAGGCACAGCTTTAAAACTGCGTCAGCTGAGGGGAAAAAGCAGCATCATATTTGTCCCAGCCAACCCTTTTCCAAGCACGGGGCGATTCAACCCCACGACATTTCTGTTTTTTCCTTCTGTCCTGCTGCTCTGGCAGCATTGTCACAGCCCACGGCAGAGAATTCCCATCGGTGTCACCGCCCTGAGCGCTCGTGGCTGTGCTGTGGCTTCCCTCCAGCGGCACAAGCTGGCAGCTGCAGCGTCCTGGGGACACCTCCCCAGAGAGCAACCCACCAAAAATGGCATTTTACTGCTCACTGCTCCCAGCCTCGCCCCAAATATTTTTCTATTTTTACAACACACCTGTATTTACATAACATTTTTCTGTATTTTCCCCCCACTTACACGTCCAGGACTTTATCTGCATTGTTTATTCTTGTTTTGCTGCACTGAATACACAGCTAGAAGGTAATATTCATCCACAAAATTAAACAGGACAGAATATGTGATAGCCCAGAACTACCTCAATTCCTGCCTAAGCCTCTGTTAACTGTTAGTGAAGTACAAAAGTTTCCATTTCACTGCCAGCAACTCTGAGATTTGAAGAGACACTGGGTTTGAATTCTACAACCAGGAGAAATTGGAAAATTTTTAAAATGCACCTCACTTTTCAATTTTATTAACAATAAAATTTTATTAATATAAAATTTTCCAAATTCCATTGATATGAAAACCAGAGTACAATCTTTCCACTTGCTCCTACCAGGGCCATTAGGACTCAATAGCCAAGGTTTTTATATGTTTGGTTTGGGTTTTTTTAATTCCTGTTTTTTTAATCAAACCAAAGAAAATTTAGACAAAATGTTTTTATTTTACAGCCTAATTTACAGCAGTTACAGAAGATTTAAAATTGATACAACTTTTTAGGTTAACCACTTATATCCACTACTCACAGAGAGTGGAAATATTAAGGAATTTTTTTTAACACATCTAACTTGATTAATGTAAATATTTTAAAATATTTAGATCTTTCTTCTTGGAAAGCAAATCAGGTAGCACAGACACGTGGAAACACCAGCACTGAGTGAAGAATAAAGCCTCCTTAGAAGCATGTTCCAAAAAATCCCACCATGGTGGATGATGGGATCAGGCTTTGGGATGCACTGCAGGTGAGAGGAGCTCACCATCCACCAGTGGAATTCTGTAAAAAATCTGCAAAAATGATCCTTTCAGTGTCTTCTGCTGTTGGAGACAATGGCTGCTGCCAAACCCCACAGAGTGGATGTGAATCACCTCTTCCAGGAACACCAGTGGGTTAGGGATGGGTAATCTGGCATCCTCAGCCAGCTCAGTTCCATTGCAGGAGCATTCCTGGGGTTTTTCCATGATCTGGAATTACCTGAAGGGCCCATAAAATGACAGCTGTCTCCAGGATATAAAATTTCAGCCTAAGAGTGGCCACAGGAGAATTCAGGGAATAAAATAAGTAAAAAAAAAACTTTCTTAGTTCTAACAGAGGCCAATGTTCTGCTTTGTCTCCTGCAGTGAGACCTTTCAGACTTGACCACCTTTGCTGGAAAATGATCTGTGCTGGTGCTCAGCTCCCAGGGCAGAGCCAAGGATCTCAGGGATTTAAAGGAACCTCCATCCTGCTCCTGCTCAGCAAGAGCCAGAGCACAGCCTCTGCCTTCTGCTGGCACAAAGGGCTTCCTGCCCTTTCTGGGGTGGCATCAGGACCAGAAGAAAACTTGGATCAATCGCTGCCTCTTCACATCACTGCTGCACTTGGGGCACTTCCTCACCACCTGCAGAAACCAACAAACAAAACACACAGGGAATGTGTTTATTGTGGAGGAAATGCCACAAATGGAGGGAGTTTTCATGTGGGCAAATAGTGATGAGGATAAGGGGCAATGGTTTTAAACTGAAACAGGGAAGCATTAGATTCAATTTGAGGAAGAAATTCTTTACTCAGAGGATGCTGAGAGGCCCTGGCACAGCTTTCCCAGAGAAGCTGAGGCTGCCCCAGCCCTGGAAGTGTCCAAGGCCAGGTTGGATGGGGCTTGGGGCAGCCTGGTCTAGAGGAAGGTGTTCCTGCCCATGGCAGATAAGCTCTAATGTCCCTTCCAACCCAAACCACTCCGATATTAAATATCTCAACCACATTTTGGCCAATATGAACTACAAGCCCCAGCAGCCACCTGACAGTCCCCGAGATCTTATCTGCTGTTTGCAAGCTCCCTGTTACCACACAGGCAATTATTTCCTTGGTAGCAATAAAAAGGAGAGGAGGCTTCGTGGCACCATGCAAAGTGGCACCAGACTGTGCAGCACTTGCTCCAGCTATGACACATCTGGAGAACTGAAATACAGGAACGAGGAAACGTGGAGCTGCAAGAGCTCTTGTGAAGCTGCACCTGTGAGTAAAACCCTGTCAACTGGCTGAGTTCCCTGAATTTCTGCTTCCTCTTGCACAGATGACAAGGAAATGTGTCCTGGACATACCCGGACAGGGATGACACACGTGGTCATGCCAAGAGTTTTGCAGGGGAACCAAGTACATTTATTTCTTCATAGCACCCCACACCTTTCTGATTACCAGCACAAGACATGAAGACACATGAGGCATCATTTCTCCACTCAGGTTTCAGTTTGCTTCTTCACTAATCATCAGTTTTAAAGTAATTTGACTTGCAGATGAATCCAAACTGTTCTTCTCATAGCTTGCAAATTACTGGTAAAACTGAACTGCTCTGTTTATTTCAAAAGGGAGATAGAAAATTTGTTTTCTTAAAACCAAACAAACAAAAACAACAACAACAAAAACTAAAAAAAAAAAATTGGGAGAAGATTGCCAGCTCAGGAGGCCTAAAAAGATGGTCAGCTACATCAGTGGCACAGCACAGCCTTCCCTGAAGCGTGGAAGTTCCTCATTAGAATCACAGAGTGGTTTGGGTTGGAAGGGACATTCAAGCTCATCTCATTCCAAACCCCCTGCCATGGGCAGGGGCACTTTCCACTATCCCAGGTTGCTCCAAGCCCTGCCCAACCTGGCCTGGAACACTTCCAGGGATGGGGCAGCCACAGCTTCCCTGGGCACCCTGTGCCAGGGCCTCACAGGGAAGAATTTCTTCCCAATATCCCATCTAACCTGGGGCATGGGGAGCCATTGCAAGAAAAGGTGCAGACTGCAAAGTAGGCTCAGGCAGTAGGATTTTGGTTCTGGTGACATTAACTGAAATATCAAAAGTGCAAGGGGAGAGGAGAGGTCACTTCATCTCCCAAGAGCCAGTGCTTTGCCAAAGGCAATTTTAACTGTAACATTTAATTGTGAAATCTTTGATTTTTAATTGTGAAATCTTTGATTATTTCCCCATATTGCAGATAGTCCAAATGAAAATAACTCAGTCTTCTTGGAAGACCTGCATGAATAAATGCATTTAAACACCTGGAAGCAGCAACAGAACCTCTAGAGGGAAAACCACACCCCAAAGCAGCATATCCTGGTCCAGTTTCTAACACACTGAATCACCCAACATGCTCCAGCACTAATCCCCATAATCCCCCTCTAAGCTGCAGGGAATCCATCTGCTCTGCTGCTTCCAAAATTATTCAGCACCTCTCCCCACCAGTGTTTTGCTAAAATAACAAATTGGACAAGACCACAATTTGCAAACCCCATGTTGTGAATGATGCTCTGAGTCACTTCCTTGGTGGGACAATATGCACCAAAGGGCTTTTGAGCAGAAAAAACAGTGAGTAAGTTATTAGGAAAGAAAAACAGGAGTTTTAAGTGCAGCCCTGCCAGAGTGACAAAGCCCAGTCCCATGGGATGAGAGTTCAGAGCTCAGCCATGGTTGCTCATTTCCTGCTGGTGAAGGTGCCCCTGTCCCAAACACATGGATAGGGTTAAGTGTGCAGCCTCACTGGGCATGAGTGGGAATGGGGATGGATGTGGTGGGACATGGCTCTGGAGAAACACTGGATCATCTTCCTGTTTGCAATCCTGTGTTTCCCTCTCAGCTGCATGAGCAGCACAGCCTCATCACTGGAGAAGCATCTCTGCATCAGCACAAGTCACATCCTAATCTGCAAGGGGATAGGGGAGTTTGGACAACAGGAAGAATTTCTCCATGGAAAAGGTAGTAAAGTACTGGAACTGGCTGTCCAGGGAAGTGGTGGAGTCACCATCCCCCTGGAGAGTTCAAAAACATGTGGCTGTGGCCCCTCAGGACATGGTTCAAGATGAACACAATGGTGGTGCTGGATTGATGGTCCCTTCCAACATAAATGATTCTATGACTCTCTATTTGACTTTTCATTAACCAAACAACACCTGAATCACATCATGAGCCACTTAACACTCCTGTACACTGAGAACATTAATCACTACACAGGTGTGTCTGTAAGTAGGATTAATCAGGTAATTGGCAAATATGAAAATAATTAATAATAAAAGTAAGATTATTCAGTAAGTAGCAAATATGGAAATCATTATTAGCAAATGACCCATGACTCATTTCCTCAAACATGGAACTGGGATGCACGGGATATCTAAACAGAAGAGAAAGAACACTTCCAGCTGGAAAGGACCTACAGTCCAAGTGCCTGAGCTCTTAAGGGTTGAACAGAAGTTATGGCACTGTAATATTAAAGAGCTTCAGGGCCTCTCTAGGAAGCCTCTTCCAGTGTTTGACCACTTGGTATAGACATGTCTCCTAATATCCAGTGTGAAGCTCACTGGTAACAGCTTTGGACAGCTCCCATGGATCCTGACATTAAATCCCAGGGAGAAGAGCTCAGCACCCCCTGTGTCCCCTCCCCAGGAGGGCTCTGGACAAGGATCTGAGTGACAGGACAAGGGGGAGAAGCCTTAAAAGAGAGCTGGGTTAGATGGGATATTGGGAAGAAATTCTTCCCTGTGAGGGTGGTAAGGCCCTGGCACAGGGTGCCCAGAGAAGCTGCCCCATCCTGGAAGTGTTCCAGGCCAGGCTGGGCAGGGTTTGGGGCAACCTGGGACAGTGGAAGGTGTCCCTGCTCACTGCAGGGGGTTGGAATGAGATGAGCTTTAATGTCCCTTCCAACCCAAACCACCCTGATCCTATGCTTATTCTGTATTCCTCTTGGACCAACTCTGTCCTGGCTGCTGTATTTTATTTGGATGTCAGTCCAAATGTTTTCTATGCTTACCTGACAATTCAATGTCTTCCTCCTGAGCAAAAGACCTTCCTCTGGAACTTGGAACAACAGATTATTTTGTACTTGCTTATAGATTGACAAGCTGAAGGAGTTTCTTTCCCTTCTGTACTGTTTTTGGATATTCCTAAGCTCCACTGATCAGCAGCCTTCTCATCACATATGAACATTTAGAAACCCCTCAACTCTTGCATTATTCCAGTTTTGAAAGTCTTTTAACACCTGGCTGCTGAATTAAATGCTGGGTAAGATACTCCCAAACCCTGGCACCCTAGAACCAGCTACATCCTCTCATGTAAAGAATTTCAGTTTACTCAGCTGGGAAAACCAAGAGACAGGAGATCTTTGAGCAGGAATTCAGAATTATGGATTCACAGAATTGGTTGGGAAAGACCCTAAAGGTCACAGAGTCCAATGGTTGACCCAGCACTGCCAAGTTTATTTCTTGACTATACCATTAAGTGCCACATCCACACATCATAAAGCCATCCAAGAATGGTGACTCAACCACTTCCCTGGGCAGCCTGTTCCTTGTTTGCCTCATTCTCATAATAGAGCTTTACAGTAGGCTTTTGATGGGAAAAACTATGAAACTGAGAGAGAAAAAATATTTAAATAAACATTAAAATATTTTAAAAAACAACAGTTTTTAAAGTTTACTCCACAGCTTATTGCCTTTGTAGTTTTAGACCAGAAAACATGTGGAGGCAGCTCGGAAAGATGCAAAAATGTAAAAACTCCAGCTTAGGGCACAGATCTGCCTGAAATCATATTGCAAACCATGGGAAACAATGGATCAAGTGGTAAATCTTCCATTGGCATTTGGGTGTTCTTCCTGGAAACAGAAGAATTCTGATTCCAGGCTTGTTCACATCATTCTCCTGAAAAGCACAAAATTCCCCGGCAGTTTTGGAAAAAAACAAACCAAAAAACAGGAGAACCTTTAAGAACTGCTTCCAGCACATTTTGCAGCAAGTGAAGTCACATAATGGGCATTTAAAAGGCACATCATCCTTGGATTTGCAGTTAGAGCAGTGGAATCTTCCTAGAACAGAGGGGAAGGTGAAGAGAGAGAAAGAGAGGGAGGAAATGACTAAATTCCTGTAATCACCTGAAAAATTCTCATGTAGCCACACTTCCAGTACAGTCCAGAAAACAATGACCATGAGTGTCATGAACTACCTCAACAGTGCCCTGCCACATTATTTCTTTCAAGTGACCTCACAGACTCTTGATGCTTCAGATCCCAGTAGGAACTCGGGTTACATCCTTCCTTTACAAGGAAGTTGTCAAGAAAAAATCCCTTGAGTTCTCAGGAAATCACTAAAGCATTGTGACAAAGACAATGAAGAACTTTGAGAGCACATGCAAGGTACAGAAATACAGATTCTCCTCAGCAAACCACACCAATCACACTGCACCTGAGCAAATACAGGCAGGAACCAGTGGTTTCATACACCAGCAGCCTCATTTCTGTAATTTATCTTTATTCCCAAGTATTAGAAAATTACATCCCAAACTTCTCTTGTACCTACCACACTCTGGTTCCATCTCCAGGGGAAAGATGGGCACAACTCCAGAGTCTGTGGGTGCTCTCACATTATTGGTTTCTTTGGACACTGCAATCTTTGGGAACTCAAGTTCACTTTTCTGGCTGAAGCAGAAGGAGGAAATCTTACTCTGAATTTTTTCTGGTGCCCCACTCTTAGAAGGGGCTGCGTCTGGGGAGAAAAAGAGAAAACCAGTCTATAAACCTGTATCATGCAAAACAAACACTCCGACTCTGCAAAACACAGTCAGCAGTAAATTCACTCAGTTGTCATTGTATAAGAATAAAAACTAATTTAAAGAACTAGCTTTTATGCCATAGTGCTTGGCAACAGATGTTTTTGATAGATACTAACACATGCAATATTACTGAAAGAGATCCTTTATATTGAAATAGTTCTATGGCACTTCTTCCTTCAGAATGGGCCTTGATCCCAGAACAGGCCTGCTCCCATCCCACTTAGATGTAAAAATTCTGCCTTCACCCTTAACACAGCTTAAATATGGCAGAACTATAACTAATTTCTTTCTTATTCCTCGCATTTCCCCATCTCATGTTACCTTTTATCTTACTCCTATTTGAGTGTGGTTTTTTTAACCCAATGCAGAGATAACCAATGCCTTTGATCTCCTTGACAGGCCTCAGGCAGGGAGGCCCTAGCCCAGGAGAGGGACTTTTCACAGGGGTGGGGAGTGATAGGACAAGGGCAAATGGCCTTAAACTAAAGGAGAGCAGCTTTGGATTAGAGATTAGGGGGAAATTCTTCCTTGTGAGGGTGGTGAGGGCCTGGCACAGGGTGCCCAGAGAAGCTGTGGCTGCTGCATTCCTGGAAGTGCTCAAGGTCAGGTTGGACACGGCCTGGGGAAACCTGGTCTATGGAAGGTGTCCCTGCCCATGGCAGGGGGTGGAACAAGGTTTAAGGTCTCTTCCAGCTCAAGCCAGTCTGTGATTCTATGATTCTGAGGCTGTTGAGCCCTACCCATCATAATAATAAGTAAGATTCTAAACTTGTGACAACTGTTCATTCCCTACCTTGTATGTGGCTGATTCCTTTTGTGCAGCTCTCCAAGCTCTGGGGTTTCCCTTCACTTTGCTCCAACTGTTGCAGCTGCTTCTCTCCATCACCACAGACCATTCCAGTCAAACCCTTACACAGCTCTCTGAACTGCTCTTTGTGGTGAGGACGCACAAACATGTAAAACCCTGGCCAAAAGAAAACACAGTCAAATGCACAGGAAAAGCAATGCCTGGCCATGGAAGACTCCTTGCTTTGGAGGGAAGAAATTCTTTGGAAGCTGAATAATTTCAGTCAGATTCCTCAGAGTATCTTCAGCTTAGTGAAACACTTGATGCTTTTGTGAGTTTTATAATTACGGGGCTTTCCTTGCCAGAAGGCAGATGAGTATTTAGTATTGAAAATAATCTCAATTTGTCTTGAAATTCTTCCAGTCTGTACAGCTCAGAATAAACACCCGCCTCAGCACTTCACCTGACAAGTGATCTAAGAACATCAGGTATACACACAGAGATATCCAGAGAGTCTCAGGAAGGAAATTTCTTTTTACTATTTGGTTGACAAGGATTCACAACACACACACACAGAGAAATTTTAAAAAACCCCAATTATGACTTACTGCCAAGCACAGACAATTCAACAACAAGGTCCTCTGAGGGCAAACCATTTGCTCAGTAGAGACAGACTGTGAAAGAGTGCTCAGGGGGAGGTTATGACTCACGGTGTCACACAGCTCATTTTCTCCCACTCTCCACTTTGCCAAGACTAATCCAACTAGTTACCACACCAGGATAAGGGTATTCACTCACAGCTTGCAGACTGTGGTATCTGTTCAAGGTCAGTGGAATATTTATTGTTATCTGCTTAAGATAACAAACAAAATTCCATCAGCATTTCCCAGCATACACTGAATGCATCATTTCCAGCAGAAGAGTCACCTCAGAGACATGGGAGAAGGTGAAACTGAGGTGTCACATCACACAAGATATTACCATTGAGGCAGTCATGATCAGCATATAATGCCTCTTCTTCTTCTTCTTCTTTCAAACAATTAAGTAGAATTTCAAATTTTAAAAACCTGTAGCTCCCTAAACCCTTCCATCACTAAATCCATGAAAGGAAAATAAAACAAATCATTTCTGAGAAAATAAATTATGTTACAGTTCCAGAAATATTTTCAGCTAAAGCTCTGTAGAAGAATAGTAAATCAAAAGCCTGCTTATCCTGAAACCTGGAAGGGATCTAAGAACTCAGCACCACTACAGCAATCACTGGTCATGGGAATAAAATTAGGTCAGTTCAATAGTCAGCACTGTCCTTTCTAAAGAGCATTTGTAGTAATTGAGGAGAAAAAACAGTTTGGTGGGATGAAGGTTAGGACTGCAATTACTGAGGTGTCGTGTAAGGTTTTTAATGGACAATTTCTACCTGAACAGAGATAACATTTTATAACCTTGACATATTTTGCTCTCTGATGGCATTTATTGAACACATTGTTCTGCTGCTCCACTGATCTGGGTAGCTAAACCAAAAGGTGAGACCTCACATGAGATCACAGCACCCACACCTTCCTTTCAAATAAGTAAGAGTGATTTTTAAAAACCCCTTACTTTGTAGGAGATGAAAGTCCTGTGGCCTCTCAGTGGTGAGGGCTGCTATCACTGACACCATGGCATCGTAATTATCTGTCTTCTTGTAAGCCAGCAGAGCCTGGTAGAACTGGCTGTAGCTGCTTTTGTCCAAAGCTCTCTGCACATCACTGAGATAGGCAGTCCTGAGGGCCTGGTGATGCTCTCTCCTGGAGCCTGGAGCCTTTTCAGCCTCTTTGCTTGGAGCTGCACTGGCATTCTGCCCTGGGAGACAAAGAAAGCATGAGCAGGGCTTTAGGAACAGACAGGTCACTCCATCATATCCATTTCTCCCTCCTTCTGGAGGGAATTCCTGAACTATTTCAAAGTGGTGAAGCCAACCCCACCTGCCCAGCCATACACCTCCCTGTGGCATGGCCAGACCTGCTCCTGGAAATGGCAACAGAGCAAAATTATTCTGGGGATCACTTTTAGCATCTGCTGGAGCTACTTGGTCGTTTTAAATGGAGAAATGTGTCAGAAGGTCACTAGGGAATGAGGAAAAGGGGCATGGAGGTCCACAGTAAATCAGGTTTTGAAGGAGTAAAAGCATCTTAAACAGATGGGTAAACCACCATTGCTGGCCTGAAATGGGTAATTTTAAAGTTCAGATTTCTCACCCCTTAGTAATAAGAGCAGACAAGGGGTGGGGTGTGTGTTTCCTAACAGGAAAACTATGTCCAAAAATACTATCTAACCTGAAAAAAAACACTCAAGAGAGCACAAGAGCCATGTAGGAAGCCTGCAAAAGGTAGGAGCAGCTTGCTAAATGCCAAGTGAACTTTATTTACAATACTATTCTCTCATTTCTGGTATCTTTTAGAGAAGAAAGTTCTGGTTTGCATATCACAAGCATGCAAATATGAATGAAGGATATGATAAGAAACTTATTTAAATTAACCTGCCATATATTTTGATATCTGGATCTTTAAAAGTTCTTTATTGGGTGATAAAGATAATTAGGTTTCAAAACACAGACTTCATTCAATTTGCTGGAAGGGGAAAAAACTTGGGTGTGCATTTTATAATCAGTATTCATTGCATATCTAGAGCTTTCTTATATTTCCACAGAAGCATTCTTTTCTTAAGAAGGAATAGAAATAACACATCCATTTACTCCTATTATTTTCTCAATTACTTTTTGTGGAAACAAGTTTCTGTGAAACCATTCTAATGGTTTCAGGACAAGATAATTACTAAAGATTCTGCTTTATTCAAGTATCCTCAAAATAGAAAAGAAAATGGGAAAAGAAATCAAAAGAAACAGTATGGCTTCACACACTAAAAGTACTTAAAGCCTTCCAGGCAACTGGCTTGTTTTTTTAAAGAAAGGATTAGCATTTGACTATTCTTTGTCCTCTAAAGAAAGACTTCTAAGCTGTCCAATGATCCTACTCATTTCCTTGTGAGAAACTCAAAGAATTCCCAGCTGTTCTCAGGAAAACCCATAATTAAATAATAAATGAGCCCATGAGCTTGAAGATAAATACTAGACAGAGTGAGATTAGAGGGACGCACACAGAGATTACACTTCGTACTCTCTGTTTCTGCAGAAGAAAACAGGCTGTCCACAGAGGGAGTGTACACATCACACCAAGAACAAAATGAAACAGTTTCTTCATACCTGAATTCAGACTGAGGTAATCTTAACTCACACTCCTCAACTGGCTCCCTTTCATGAACCCTGCACAAACAGGAAGCCCAGCAGACCAGTGCTCAACCCCCACTTTTCCCAGCTCAGCCTCTAGTAAAAATGTCTGCCTTCAGCTGGTTTCTTTCACATCCACCTTGATTTAATTTATTGACTTTTGTGTTTTGTTTTGCACAATCCTTGCTGAAAATTTTGAATTACCATCGCTCCCACCTACAGAGAGTGATCCACTGTGCCAGGCAAGCATAAAGAACATTGGTTTGCCCCAGGAGAACTTCCAGTCAGTGATGAAATAAAGCAGAATAGACTGGTTTTTATTGAACATGGAGGGTACCTGCACTATTCAGTCCTGTTGCCAAGTGGGATCCTCCTTGGTTCAGGTGGAGCCCTGGGTTCAGCTGAGCACACGAGGCCTTGGAGAATGTACTTTTCTGCTGGCTCTGTTTTTCCTCTGTTAAATGAAACCAGTCCATTAGCAGTGAATTTAGGGAAGAGTGAACATGGAATGGTGCATTTCAATGTATGCCATCCTGTGCTGAAAACATCTGAGCAGCCCACAGAAGCTGAGGCTGCCCCATCCCTGGAAGAGTCCGAGGCCAGGTTGGATGGTGTTGGAGCTCGTGTGAAGGAGGGGGTCCCTGGGGAGTCCCTGGAGGGTCCCCTAAGCTGTGAGTTTGGTGGCAGCAGCAGGAACACAAGGAGACTCCACATGGCTTTTGAGGATGCTGATCAGATGAGGGTCTATTGGGGGGGTCTCACCCCTGGGAGCAGCATGGTTACTGAGGGGGAAGGGGAAAGGGGGAGGGAGGGGGACAGAGGGGCCAACAGAGAATCTGGTCCCCCTCACACAGCTTCAGAGGGACATTCAAAGTGGGTGCAGAATAAGACTGGGGCCAATGGGATTACAGATACATGAGACTTCAGGGGAGGATCACAGCTTGGAATAAACTGTACATTTTGATTTTGGAGGGGTGAGACAGAGCAAACCATTTAACTAAAATGCAACACTACACATCAGCCTTTTTTCGTTAGAAAGAAAAGATAAAGAGAAACATGACAATTAATAATTTAAAAAATGAAGCACTAACTATACACTTTTGTAGCACCAAAATAAATACCACTGCAGAGAGGATTATGTTTTAAACAGTCCATTTGACTTGATGTTTGCTTTTGGTGGTAGGCAGCAAAGATAAAATGGGCATTTAATTGTAATAAACGGGTTATGTGGGTCCATGTTGCAAATTTTAAACTAATTTAAAGCATGGGCGAGTGCTTAAAGGGCTTCAGCCTTTGGCACTAAGCTCATATGAGAGTTTTGGGATTGGCCATTTCAGCATGACTGGCCCAATGGTGTCTAACCCTTTCCAACTGGCTTTTCAGACCACCACAGCCCCCAGCTTAGGCTGAGGTGCCAACTTTGCTCCCTCTCTCAGGGCTTTCACCTTTCAACTGGTTTAACCCAGAAGACCTCTGGTTTTAGGTCATTAAAAGAAAAGCAAAAAGAAAAAAAAAAGGAATTTGGCTTCAGCTACAACCTATACTCAGGGAGCATTCACCCCAAAAACCATTAAAATACTTTCCCAGACACCATTTTAGGTTATCAGTCACCCTCAGAACATACTGAGGACAGCACAAACCCAACAGCAACTATGATTCAGCAGTCTAATACTGTCTGAACACTCGCTATTAAAGAAACAATCAAAACTGCTTCTTGCTGGATCTACCCTTGTGACCTGACAGGATGGGGCTTGGAGCAACTGGATGAGTTTTAAAGTTCCTTTTAACCCAAACCAGTCTGGGATTCTACACAGATTTATTTCTCTGATGATGAGCTTTTCAGAATTTTTTCAGAACTTTCAGAACCCCACTTTTTCAGAACCTTACTGCTCCAGGATTTCACATATTTGACAAGTTCTGTGAGGACACAATCACCCTCTAGTCACAATTCTGCTGGCACTATGTGGGCAGCAAAGAACACACAGACAAGGTTGTTTAATTTCCCAGAGTAAATGATTTAAGCAGATCAGTAAAATCCCCTTTTGAAACAAAATGACATCATTACCAACTCTGCAGCAACCAAAGCTCAGGCATCTGCACAGCTCAAGGGAAGGCAAGAGGATCATGGAGAGCAGAGACTTAGCTCAGTATTGCCTAACTTGATCTTCCTTGCATTTCTACATCTCAGACACATCCTGCCCTATGACTGGGTGAACAAGGACATTTGTCCTTCAAGTGCTACAACTGAAGCAAGCTCTCACCCATTCTCTTGGCCAGGATCTCCCTCTCCTCCCGTGGGAGGCTGTGCTCAGGTTTGTAGCCACAGCCCACTCCAGTCAGATTGCAGCACGCTTCATCAAACTGCTTTTTATGCTGGGGTCGGACAAACTGGTAAAAATCTTGCATCAGAGAGAGGGAAAAAGGGAGAAAAAAAGAAAGAAAGAAAGAAAAAAAATCAATCCACAACAGGCAATAAAATGCTACCGAAAGCTACAACAGCGGAACTTCAAGGTTAGATAAAAAGGTGCAACTAAATAAATTAAAATCTAAATGCTTTTATCTAATATTTATACAATAAGCACACTTACAAATTACACAAAGGTCAGCTACCATGCAAACATTGAGCAATATTACCACCAGCAGGTAAAGCCTTATTTTTTCACAGTAAATATAAAGTAAGTGACCTCTCAGTGAAGCAGCCCTTGAGGTGCCTCAGAAACCATGAGATCCAAGTAACTGCTAGGCTGATACTTCAAATAACTGATGAACTGTTAACTCTACACCTCATGTTGCTTATTCACCACAAAATGCTGGCCAACCAGAACCCTAAACATTAAAACAACTTTAGGTTTCAGGTGCCTGATAGTTTTCAAAACTAGACTTAAACCTTGATTTGATGATCAAATATTTTCTTATTTATGAAGATCATAGCAAATTGGGAAACCAAGTGACTGAGCTTCCCATTCTTTAACCTTAGAATTTCCCTGAAACTATTTACAAGATGCAGAACTATGCATTTATTATTTCAATTAATGAAAAAGTCACAGAAAAATCTGTCCTTTTGTTCACAAGCTGAGAAGGAAAGGAAAAATTACACAGAAAATACTGTTAAACTAGAATAAATCTTGGTGGGAATTCAGTTCCTATCAGTACAGTTGTTAAAAGGCAATAAAAACCAGCCAATGCAATAACTATCCATGTTTGCCCAGATCCTTTGTTTTATACTCACAATTATCTAAACAGAAAATTTCTCTCTATATTCTGTCTATTTGCTGCCTTAGCACCAAACCCTTATGAAGGCATCTCTCCAACTCACACAATCACACTTGCAATCTCCTAAACTACCAGGAATAAGTCACTGGACTTTTAGACAAAGCTTAAAATAACACAAACTTCCATGGAATATTATTTTCTTCTAGTCAAGATGTGAGCTAACACATGATAATCAGATTGATGAGAATCTTCTGCGTTATCTGGGAATATAAAGGGATGAATCATCTTAATTGAGCTGTACTTCACATCTAAAACATTTCTGAAGTACCCAAGCCTGTTGAAAAGATGAAAGCCACATCTACAAATACACCAGGGATGTACAAACACTCTGAAAATACCTCGCAGCAAGACGTGCTTTTTTTCATCCTCCACAAAGAGGGAGCTCATCTGGGACAGCATGGCATGGAAGTCATCTGTCTTCTTGTACTGCTGCAGAGCCTTGGAGAAGAGCTCATAGTTCTGCTGGCTCAGGGTGTCCTTGACAGTGGCGATGTAAAACGTGGCTCGCGCCTTCTTGGGCTCCGCCGGCTCCGCTCTCCGCTCCTGCTGCAAGGCAGGAAACGCCCCTCAGTCAAAGGCAGCACGTGAGGGGTTAATTCCAGGTGGAAGCAATGCATAGGATAATGGAAGGAATCATAGAATCGCTGAGGTTGGAGAAGTCCTCTAAGGTCACTCAGTGCAGTGGCCCACCCAGCAGTGCCACCCTCTCCCCTAGACCACGGAGGTTTTCACCTAACGGGGTGTAGTTATGGCAGTCACCCCTGTAATTCATGCATTATTCACCTTGCTCACTGACAAAACAGACAGCTTCAGGAGTTAGGTGTAGTTATGGCAGTCACCCCCGTAATTCATGCATTATTCACCTTGCTCACTGACAAAACAGACAGTTGCAGGAAAAATTCCTAGAGAAGGCAGCCAAGTATCATTGCACAAGTCTATTCTTAGGAGAAGGGTTAATAAAATTGTATTTATTCCAAAACTGGAGGCTGAGCTGACTCATCATGACATCAGATAGCAACAAACTGCAAACACAGCCTTTTGCATGAACCTGTTCTCTTCCTTCTATCTTCTCTTGGATGTTATCAGCTTCGGGATGAGTTTCATTTGCCAGGTGCTTGGCAGATTGACAGACAGGAACATCCAGTTAGGACAGCACCTTGGACAACTACTGGCACTCACATCACCCAGGGAATTCTCCTGAATTTATTGTGACTTAAGCAATTAGCTGCATAATGAGTTAACTGGGTTCGGAGACAGGACAAAACAGTAATGCACAGCTGCAGAGTTAACTCATAACCAGGACCCACCTCATGGGGGTAGGATGTGACCCCTTACCCCAAACTGGTCAGTTCAACCATCTGAGGCTCTACCAAAGCAGCTGGACTTGCTGATCATTGTAGGTCCCTGCCAACTGAACTATTCCATTTTAATCAAAAAGAATGAAACTAACCACCACCCAGGTCAAATTGTTCACAAAGCAATCAGTGTCAGAAAACAATTCTTTTCACCTACCACCCTCTGTGGACCTGTGGTTGATTTGGTCTGGGATGTGTGGATTTGGGAAAGAGCATGACAAACAGCTTTCAGATGTGCACTGATGAATATTTCCAATTTGGAGAAAAAACACACTTGTTCTAGCATCATTTATCTGTCTGCCTGGCAATTTCCAATTCAAATTGAAGCAATCTATAAATCAAAAGCATGGCACAGACACAGGGAAACACATACTGTATTGCTGACTAGCTTTATTTTCTTCCTTCCTCCTTTCTGCTCATCTGTTAATCTCTTCTCATACTGAAGGGAAAGTGTGGACAGCCGATGTGCCTGTGAAGATGAAAAGAAAGCAAGTAAGGTACAAAAAATTCTTTTCAGAGTTATTGCCTGTTTAATTTAGGTATTTCCAGCAGTAAAACCTGGTAACCCAGTTTTGACACCAATCAAGAAAATAAAACAAGTCAACCTAAATTACTGTACCAGAGCCTAGGCACATACCTGTGTCTAAAGGGTAGAAATTTACTGGACAACTCACAGAGACCAAACTACAAGAAATTAAACACAAAGTTGGTCTTGAGGGTGCAAATTCCTGGCTAAGCAAAGCTGGACTCACAGCAGACTGTTCCAGGGCAGCCTGAGAGTGTACACAGACTGTGTGTAACCAGTGGTTCACACTCCACTTTCCTGCCTGGAACTCCCTGTACCTAAGGGAGTGAAGAATTGGAATATAGGCAGCAAGTCAAATATTTAAGATATATGCAGTAAATCAGAAAAATTATCAAAACCATTTTTTTAGTCCTGTGCTATGTAAAGGCAGCACCTTGAAAAGCATGATTCAGCAGAAATAAGTAAGACTTCCTAGACATGAGGTGTTAACTGACAAAGAAATCTGATTATGGGGAACTGTTAATACTCAAATGGATTGGGAAATTATTACTTGTACAGTGAATTTTTGAGGTGACAAAGCAAATTCTTTCAGATTGAGAGCAGCTAAACTTTCACTATTTAGGTATCAAGAGTGCAGTGTAACTTTGATTAAAGGAAAAATGATAACACAGATACTATGCTGGATGGTGAAGACGGGAAATGACACCAACCCCATCCTCAGTCCAAATCCAGTGCTCAGTGCTGGACTCAGAGTGAAAGCTGGCTGCCTGAGAGCCACTGCCTGTCTCAGGACTACACTCACCAGACTGCTGGGACCAGGTCACCAATTTGAGAGCAGCACAGGGTGACCCCAGAGCTCTCAGACAAGCAGCAATGCCAAATACAAAAATAGGAAGTAGACCTGAGCAACTGTCAAGCTGTTGGGTCTATCAGCTTACACGACTCTGGGAAATGCTGAGCTCTGCCAAAAGCACTGCAGCTGTGTTGGAATATTCTGTAGCTGAGTTACCAAAGTCCCTGGGAATGTGCCAGGCTTTCCAAAGAACAAGTTTTGGTGTCAATGTCATGGTCACCCAATGGGTGACAGAGCCCATTTCCCATTTGGCTGCACACAATTTAAATATTTGCTGCCCTTTGTATATTCCCTCTGCTCTGTACGTGTCTCCATTCATGTCCTTGGGCCTACTCAGATATTCCCCAGACACTCCTACATTTACACATTTTACCTCAGGCATTCTTCCCCTGAGGAAAGTACTTAAGAATGGTGCAATAGGCACTGCTGAATGGGTTTGCAAGCCAGCAGTAAAATACTCCAGCCAAGTAAAGGCAGCCACCTCTCCAACTGCTGCAAGCTGGGATTTTGGGAAAGCAAGAACACAGCTGAATCACTGATGTATCAAAAATACCAATCCAAGAGGAAAGAAAATTAACAGCACAGAAGCAGCTTTGTTGATCTTGTGATAGATGATTTTTGATTCAGATGAAATATTCCACAAGTCAGCAACATTCTTTCTCTGGGGTGAAATCAAAGATTTTCATGTGAAAATGCAATTTCTAATCCATAAACCCTCTCTCACACTTTTTTTGAATTCAGTATCTAGTCTCATACCAAGAGCTGACACAGACTCCACCCAGGACAGATCATATGTTTACAAACCTCTTCTCTGAGAGCTCCTTGCTCCTCAGAAAGTATGGTTAACTTCCAGGAATCTCTGGTCAGCAGCCTTGGAGCACAGAACAAGCACATGCCTGTTGATCATCTACATGAAAGTGGCAAGGAAACCCTTTGACTAATTTAGTTATGAGAGCCTGCAGTTACTGGTGCTGATTACAGAGAGCTTTTCTTGAAAGAGGGTTGAGCTGGTTCTCTGGATGCCAAAACCATTTTGCTTTAGAGCCTGCAATTTTTACTCATAAGGAAGTATTTTGCCATTACCTTTTCCTCTCCTGGCAGATCAGTTTCCTCCTCTGCATCTTCACTGCCCTTCTCACTGCGCTCCAAGGCGTCCAAGAGCCCAAGGCATTTTCTTCGGGGCGAGACAAACTCTTGTTCATATTCCACACACAGGCTGGGTGCTCCATCTGCATTTCCTGCCATCACAGCAGAACACAGGAGACAAATTCACGTTCCACGTTCTCCCCAAGTTTTCCTTGATTTAGTGATAGCTCCCCATCTTATAAAGCAACCCACAAATATGTGTTGATGAAATAAATAATCTCCCACCTCTTGCAAAATTGCATTATATAATTTATTAAGACGACTGCTGTTACACATCACTTCCAAAATTGCTTAAGCATTTGTTACCACAACCTGGCAGACTGCTCTCAAACTTTTCCTTAAGTCACTTAACCCCAAAATGGCTTAGGATCAATTGGAAAAAGTCCTCCTGCAGCAGCTGTGTTCAATTATTTTAGATTTATGGATTTTCCCAAAACTGAGTTCCAGACTTTTTAAGAGATTTTGGTACAAAACACGATTTATTACTTTTAAACAGAGCAAGTTTTTTTAGAGCTTGCAATTATTATAGTATCAATACCCATAAGACACAGTCACCAAGGTCCCAAATTACATATTCTCACTAATCAGAATCCAGGTTTCAAATACAAGAATTTTGATCTGTAAGTAGGGTTAAATTAGTATCAGTTTGATATTTCTGTAAGGCATTACCTTCAAAATGTATTTCCACTACTTTGTGAAATTACTCCAACAGTCAGTTACTAAGGAAAGTCACTATTTTGATAAGAATGGGAGTACATTGTGATCACTATGACTACAGGGAAGTTTGACGTTACAGCTGATGCAATGCAACTGAAAATCTCTATTAAACAGGAAATGCAGATTTATCCCTTCACCTCCAGTCACACATTCCAGCCCACCCTTTGAGATGGATCTGGCAGTCAAGTGTAAGGAGAGTAAATAAACTGGCTCAGCAAAGCTCAACTGCTCACTCTGCAACTGCACAAAAGATGGACCCAAATCAAAGGAAGGAGCAAAAAGAGCACAGTTTAAACTGAGAGGGGGGGAAAGTGGTGGTCAAAGTAATCCCTTTGAACAATAACCAGCAATCACACTGGCTGCTGCCAGGCTTTATAAAGCCTTACCTATCAGTAGCAACTGGCTTAAACTCAATGTGAACTCACCCTCACTCATAACTGATTAGGAACCACAATTTTAAACAAACTTCTCTGCTCTGTTCCAAACCAGCAATCAGTCTAGAGTGCTGAAAGAATATCTGAGATGAGAAATGCTTTATTCTTTAGCAATAGTACCCAGAAAATTTTAAACATGGTTTTGTTCCCATGTCCTTTGTTTTCTTAGCTTACTAAGTAAGAGTCATCTATACAACAGGATGGAATGAGGACATATGGAAGCCAGTGCTAGGCAGAAAGACTTCTAATTCTTATTTTCCAAACTATCTGTGGTACGCCACTAAAACTCCTTCTCTGTGTGACACTTTTGCTGGCTCCATCTGCCTCTTTTCTCTGCAATTGCAACTGTTTCTCCCCATTTTCTAATGCTTAACTGTGTCCCTTCTGACCAGACTTTTACATCAGTCTTTGAGCTCTCCTTGCTTTCTCTCCCAGTTTCTAGCCTCTTGATCCTCCTTGTCATGGTTCAGCTTAAAACAAAAAAGTGCATCTGTGAGGACCCAAACATTACCTTTCCTTTTCCTCTTCAAGCTTGGAACATGATCATCCAGGTTTTTAGCTTTTTGCAGGGAGAGGATCTGCTCAGATGAAGTAGATGGTGCTGCACTGCTTTCACTTAGGGAACCAGCATGTCCAGGAGGGCACTGAGGCAGGGGTGGGGGCATCTGCAAGCAGTTTACAAAGTGTTACAATAGGCAAAGGCCACTTTTCCACTCCATCTGTGACCAAATATCTCAGCAACAATCCAAAGACATCTCCTTTTCCCAAAATAACCTTTGCTAGCAAGACTGTTGCACACTCTGGGTTTATGAGCTTTTGAAAAAAAGGATCAAACAGCTCCCAAGTGACACAGCTGAAGTGCAGTAAGGAGGCTTGACTCCAAGTGACCTGGTACCAGAAAAAGGATCATGACCTGCTAAAGGACAATCATTTTCTAATGCTACCCCTGCAAAAACAGCTCCTTCTGACAAAGCACATAGGGTTGTGGTTTTGATTTACCATAAAACTGTCACTCCTGATCAGAAAAGATCAAGTCCTGCAGCATCATACATATGTAACTAATTAGCCTGAACAACAAATTTAGCCTTGTATTTGGCTAAAGCATCTTCCGGGAAGTTGTTCAAGTCTGTAGATGAAATTTTTAAGTGCTTATTTTAATCTTAACCTCTGTCTTGGGAGCAAAGAATTTCCAATTCTGGCTTCCATCCTATTTCTTGCTATGACTTTCTCCAGTGAATTAGGAAGCCTTTTTACAATATTACTTGTTAAATCAAGGAACTATTACAGACAACATGAATTTCGTCATACTAATAGAGAAGCTGTTTTAGTAAAGATGACCCAGTGTTGAACTGTAATAACAACTCATGGTTTGTATGACTCTTTATTACTAGTCAGCTTCAATTTAAATTTTGGGGTATGATCCTTCCACACACATAACCTCTCCCTGAGACAGAAAGCTTCTAGATCCCAATATTAGTTCCGGGATTTGCATACAAGCCAATAAATACATGTTTATTTAGGAGGAACTGGAAGAGGAAGTTATTTTTGTGATCTAACTTAATGAGTTGCCCAGCATAAGAACAACATCCTGTCCCAGATCACTCATGGGGAAAGATGAGGCATACCTCCTTTCCAGTAAATCTTCCAGTGCTTAGAAGTGGCAAGTCACTCCGTGTTGGACAGGCTTGTGAGGAGCAGAGAGTTGGACTCTGTGATCCTTAAGCATCCCTTCCAATTTGAGATCATTTGTGATTGTCTCACATCTCCCACCTAGTTTGTCATTCCCCGTTTCCAACACTATTCAGGAAAGTGGTTATTCATTTTGTGTTTTTTTTTTTTTTTAAAGACACTTACAATTTCTTGAGCAACACGGAAGAAGAGGGAGACACTTCTGACCGCGTGCCCGAAGTTGTCGTAAACATTCACGTAGGGACGGACCCACGAAGGCAGTTTGCCCCTGACATCACAAGTTGTGAACCTGGACAGGATGGGAAAACCTGAGAATTATTTGCCAAGTTGGGCTAAATTAATTACAAGAACCCTAGATCACTATCTGTCCTAGGTTGCAATGCAAGATGAGGCTGGGGGTGCATATTCTGTTGCCATCTGTTAGAACCAGATGGGGCAGTTATCTTCTGTTAAAGCCAGGTGGGGCAGTTTTCTTTATTTCTTCCACCCATCCTCCCTCCAGGGAGATCTTCTGTTCATGGGCCATTGAGTCTCACTGCATGATTGATAAAATTACATCATCCCACTGTGAGATGCTCCACCCAGGGGGAGGAGCCAAGCATTCCTACCTGGATATAATCTGAGATTTGGAACACCACAGGCAGCCTTCTCCCACTGGATTCCCAGAGGAAGACCAGACCCATCTACACCACCACTGGATCTCCAGAGGAAAACTACTCCCTTCTGCAGGATCACTGCTTCAACAGAACCACACCTGTCACTGCAGCAGGGCTGAGCCACCATTTAATGGGACTGCTGGGACCACCCTGACCCACAGGGTGCCAGGTTGTATTCTGTCAGTGTTGTTTTGTACTACTGCATTTTTAGCAGACACCTGTCTTTTCAAACCAAGACACTATCCAGAAGTACAAGAGAGGAGCAGCAACACAAATAAAGACATAACAGGGCAGTAAATATAATGGGGTGATGCCTCACTCATCACTCAGGAGAAAGTGATTCCATGTACTATCAATTAAACTCCTGTTGCCTATAATACATATATTCTACTAATTAGCATTACAGAAATGGATATTAATGCAGTATAATGTTAATATAGGATATGACTATAAATAGTATTTTTTCAGTAACATAATGTGTCCTCATTTCCATTCTTCTCTCAACACTGCAGTGTTACTGACTGCCAGCTCAAATGAAAGATGGAAAAAAGGCAAAACCATAAGTTGTTGTCACATAATTTCCTGTGGTATTACAAACATGAATTCCAAAAATTGGTTTATTTTCTATTAAAACCATTAACCTCCTTCTGCAGCTCCAAGACTACATAGATGGGGAGCAGAAGATAACAATCCAGTTAGTTTCCTGAAGTAGTGCAATATTTCTATACCCTGTTATATAAATTAATTTTATTATTATGAACTTTTCCAAACGGCAGCGTCAACACATTTATATTCAAAATACCAGCACTTATGTTAGGATATAAAGCTATTGATGCCCCAAACCTGAAAGTGCTCAAGGCCAGGTTGGACAGGGCTTGGGGTGGTGGAAGGTGTCCCTGCCCTTGGCAGGGGGTTGGAATGAGATGAGCTTTAAGGTTCCTTCCAACCCCAAACATTCTGGGGTTCAGTGGGCTGGGGTTTACCTGTGGTCACACAGGAAGATGGCCCCGTAGTCCTGGCGGTGCCTGATGACCCGGCCGATGGCCTGGTTGACAGCCCGGGACGCTTGCTGACTGTACCACTCACGCCCAGACAGATACTGCAAGAGGGAAGAATTAACATTATTTACCACTTAAAATGTATTCTCTGTGCTGTACAGTCATTATTTCTTTTCCTAAAGAAATAAAAAGTGAAGCACAGATGTTGGGTAATATCAACCAGATGTACTGACAAATCTCAAAGACCTGAGGAAAACCAAAGACAGGTGGACTCAAAAGTCACACCTGATTTCCAGAGCACAGAAAACTCAAGCAGCAATGTCCAGCTGGAGAAGGTATTTCCTATATGGTGCACTCAGAGCCTTGGAAGTACAACAGACTCACCATATTCTTTAAGACCTGCAGAACAGACTAAATTGTAATGTCATTCATTCTTGTGCCTGAAGCAATAGAACACCAAACCCAAACAACCCAACACACACCACCACACTTCCAACACAATAATTCCCAAAACAGCCAGCACAGGCCATTCTTCCTGCCCATGCTCTCTCTGGATGAAAAACATCCCTGAGAATGAGAGATGGGTAACACACATACAAAGATTTTATAAACTTTAATTACAATTTTATTGGGCCCTATATTTAAGACTGTGCCAGATTTTGGAACCCTCAACACTATTAAAAAAAGGTGGAATTTGTGACAAATTCCCAAGGCGGTTTGAATTTTTGATATTCATGGTCCCATGAGGCTGAGAGGATAACAAAACCCAAAACCAACTGGGACAAGAGGGAGAACCAATGACAAAAGCATACAAACAGCCAAAAGTGAGAAGCTGCCCAGTCTTACCTGTGCACCTGCACCACTTCTCCTCATCTCATCCAGGAATTGCATCTTTAAAATAACTCTGGGCTCCATACGAGGGGGAAATGGAAGCCCAGTAATGATGACTCCTCGTCCATTTATGTCTGCAAAGTCCAAGCCTTCACTGGCCTGCAGGGACAGAGTTTTCCATCCTCAATGGAGTTTTCAGTGACATTTCAGAGCAATTCAGCAGTTGTTGGCCCTTTTTCTCCATTCAATTAACTCCCTAGCCAAGTGTAGTTTATCAGTAGTGTCAATGAATAATTTCAACTAGATTTATTTTTTTTACCAGGAGTTTAAACTTGGTTTTTTCCCCTGCCAAAGCACAGCTCAGCCAACCCTGTTAATGGCTGTCATGTTCCTGGATAACATCAGCTGTATTGAGAACATGTCAACACCTTTATGTAAACAGTCCACACCCTGGGTTGTTGAAAAGACATAACAACATAGCAAACCTTCTGACAGTAAAAATTAACAGAATCACTTCAAAGCAATAACAGAAAGCCATCAGATTCACCAGACTATAGTGCCATGTTCAGCAGCTGTGCTGTTGACATCCCATCAAGTATCTGTCACTCATGTCCCCTGTACATGCTCACTGTGCTAGCAAATCACTTTGTGAAATGAATAAAGTTGAACGGACTGAAAAAAAATAATCAAGGAAAAAAAAAAGCTGTTTTGTTTTTCACCTGAATCAATTCTCCAAATCTCAGCAATGAGATTTGAGAGAGCTACATCTTTTCTTGACTCCAACAGCCTCTTTGGAGACTGGGACCAAAGTTGCAAAAGAAGTTGTATCTTCTCCTGGTACACAGTAAACATCAGCAAAAAGGCTCTAAGAGGAATTTCACCAATATTTCCACTGATAAACATAAGTCAATTTACCAGCACTGGAAGATGCAAAGGAAAGGCCATCAAATGTGTCCAGAGAACAGGAAATTAATAAAGCAAGTGTTTCAAAGCTAAGCAGTATGTTTGGTTTGCAGCAGTGTTGTTTTAACTTGTTTCATTACAGTTCTCCAGAACAGCTGTTCTCATCTAATGAGTTATGTTTTCAGTGAGCAGCCAGCATGAAATGCAAGTATGATGCTCATCCACTTCAGAGATATCAAAATGTGTGAATCATACAGAAATGCGACATAATTTTGGAAAAGCTTTAGAGCACTTATTTTTTCCCCAGATACAATTACAGTCAAATAATAAGAAATGTATTTAAATCCAAAATGAAGTTTTTTTCCTATCAATTAGATAATCTGATCTCAGATGAAACAAATTCTCAGTTACACTACCTTGCCCCGACACACTGCCAAAAAAGCAGCTCCATTGGACTTAGGACAGGCGACTTTATCATAGTAGGCATCAATAACCTAAAATATAAACAAGTTTAAGAGGAAGAATGGTATTACCTTGTACTAACTAAATTTGTCTTGTACACTAAGATCTAAACTGTTAGTATAATTGTCTTTACTTTTAACTAGTTGCAAGTGTGAGAAGCCATTTTCTCAGCAAAATCCTTATATCCCTGTGAAATCCAGAACACATTTGGGTAAGCGTGAAAAAATTCAGATACTTCTGATAAGATGGACCATCCTGTGTTTCTGCAGATCGTTAAGCAAAATAGACAAAACAGGAAAGCAATTATTAGATAGTAATTATTCCAAGAAGCAAACAGAATGGCTATAAATAAATAGGATGACACTGCATAACTCTTAAACATCCAAAGCAGGATGAGCTGGGAGGAAAAGTCATACAGAACATTCACAAATGCTGACTACTGAAGTGACAGCTTTCCACCAGCTCGATTACTCAGCACTTGTGTATGTTAGCTGCTGTTACATCACCAGATTTAAATGAAGGCTGAACCCTGCATGGCCAGACAAGAGAGGAAAAGAAGGATGCACAGGAAAACTACACTTCAAAGTAGCTGTCAGAGTTTTACTTTCACCCTAGGCCAAAAACTGGGGTGTTTCACACCCAAACCCACCTTAGACAAGGTCATTAAACATAGAAACAGTTTCTGAAAATGATAGAGGTATGTAATGCAAATAATCAACCTCTGAAAAGCTTCCTTTGTTCCTGGGTTCCACAAACATCGGCTTCACGTCTTCTATTCTTTTGGCAAAATCATGCTCCTGTTGGACAGAGAAGGAGCAGGTCAGAAACGCCAAGCGTGCTCACACCACAATAGGAATGCTCAGAAATGGTCACTACACTTCCCCATCACAGCCTGCTCCTCTCCTGCCAATCACAGGAAGAGATGGAAGCAGAAACATGCAACCCCCTGAGAGCATGAGCAGTGATTCCTTGCAGTTGGTGCACCTCAGACATCAGGCAGATGGGAAAGTTCCAGCACTCATCTCCCAGTCCTACTCCACAGCATCAAACCTCTGTTCCTGCTTTTTCAAGCAGCATTTAAACCAGAACTGTTCCAGCAAATCTCACCAGGGCCATTCAACTCAGGAGCACAGAAGTACCAGAAGTAACAGTTGCAATGGTTACAAATTAAAGGAGAAACGCTCATATTGGGATTTTTTCCCCCATGTGTTGAAACACAGAGATCAATTCTAATTCAGAGGTTTAATAAAGAAAGGTTTAGTGAACTAAATGTGATATCAGATGGAATAATATATTAAGATTCTTTTGGGTTTGGTTTCTGCAGCACTGCACTTCAGTACACTGTGATCAAAATAAAAGAAGCCTTACCTGAGATTTTACATTCCAGATTTTATCATTTACTAATTAACAAAGAATTTTTCATAGAATCCCAGAATGTTTTGGGTTGGAAGGCACCTTAATAATCATCTAGTTCCAACCCCCTGCCATGAGCAGTGATCACTTCCACTAGAAGGTTTTTAATTAACATGCTTAAATGGAGTTACTACAAGCTTCCTGATGTAAGCAACCAAACCACCTAGGTAGAGCAGAGCAATGAACATACTCTCCAATATTCCAGGCTCTTATCCATGACAGGATACGATGGGAAGAACACCAACAGCCCATGTGGCACAACTCTCACAAGGTTACCTGCAGGGAGAGAACACAAGTGTGCAGCTGAGGGCATTTTCACCCTGGGATGGAGAACATGGACTGCAGAGGAAAAGCAACACCATGGCCTCCTTCCAAAGTATTTTCTACTTTCTTGACATGAATGATTTTGTATTAGAAGTTGTTCCATTTCTTAAAATAATTTGACCATCTTGTCAAAGTGTAAGCTTTAACACAGAAGTGAAACTAGTTTTCATTTCTCCTCCACATTCTTCAAGCATTTCTAGATTTAACAGATTCTTTTCAATCATGTTAGCCAAGCTACACAGATGATCTTCTTTTATTCTGTCCTTATGTGTTATGACTTTGTAATTCTATTACATTTATAAAACATTACCAAAACAATAAATGCTGTCTTCAGGCAGGCTTGACACAGTTTAAAATATCACAAAAAATTTCACTGATTTCCTGTGATCCTCAATCACTCTGCTCATCCTTGGCTGCATCATCTCTGGGTATTGATTTCCTGGTTTGAGCTACTTTCTGACAGTGTTTAGGAATCACATTTTTGATCCAAACACAAACTCCTGACAATAAAAATGAAGTCCAGACTCAGAAATATGAAGCCAGGGACTCAATTTTGTGTGTTATTGCAGCAGTCAGCTGCCTTGAGCAAGCAGAAACACAGAAAACCTGACAGCAGCAAGCTATGCACTGTAATTCTTTACCTTTCTCTTACTGTATCTTCTTTAGCATTGCCCTTTCTAAATTTCCAAAAATCCTGGGCACGAACCCATTTCTGAAATCCACACACTTCACTTACCAATTGTTTTCCCCAGAGAAGATAAATAATCCTCTGAAAACCTACAAAGAAGAAAAATCAAATAACACCACTGCATTTCCTTTACTATGTTTTTCATCCACACTGACTTCCTTTGACATTCATCTAAAATAACATTTCCAGACTCCCAGTTGCTCTCCCTCCTGTGGCAAGCACCAACACTAAGGGCAAGAATTAATAATACCTTGACTACATTTTATTAATACTATGAAATATTCTTATTAATAGCGCTGAAGATGATCAAAGCTTCAATAATTCAAAATGCACAGGTAAAAATGAGCACCATGTGAGTAGCAACACACGTGAGAGTTCTGCCAGGAAGTCTGCCAAGCCTGACTAACATTACAATGATTTAAAGTAATAATTTATGAATTAGGTGTGGTGTTGCTGCAGGGTTTGGTTACTATGGTTATTATTTAGTAAATCACTTCGTCTTTGGCTGAAGAAGTCCTGCTCTCCAATGAGCCATATTTACGTTCTTCCGGACCTGACTGAAAACTCCCCTGTTCTCTCATGCCTCTGTGTTCCTTTTATTTTAGTGCCCTGTACTTTTGTGTACTGTCTTCCCAGAAAATTTATATATGCAGGGAAAAAACCTAACATATATACCTTTATAAGACATACAAATACCAGTATCAACACAGAGATGTTGTCAAAATAGAGTGAACACAATGAATCCCTTTCCTTCAAAAAGTCCCCATGTTCTAAAGCCCTGGAGGGGTGGAAACCCCAACCTTACTTCTTTAAAAGACAGCATCTTCAACAGAAATACACTGAAACGGCACACTAAAACTTCTGAAAATGAGAAATGCAGTCTGAGGGTTTTCCAGATTATGACTTCTCTGTAGAAATCCATTACAATTGCTGAGTCCCTTTCCACTTCTATGGAACATTTGGCCTTTGCTGGCAGCAGAAGCACTGCCAACTCTGAACAACAGATAGAAAGAGACAAAGTGATGGAAGACCAGATGAGTAAGAAAAATGATGATGAAAAGCTTGACAAATATTAGGACATGTTTTCCTTAAGAAGACAACCCAGAGGTGAAAGAGAGGCTGGGCATGGTGACATGCTTTAAATGTAAAAATAGTTATTGCAAAGGCCAGTCATGGTTCAAGTCAATTAAGCCTTCAGCAAGAAAAAAAAATTGGATAGGGTTTAGTGCAGCTCCTGGGGGGTGGTTGTGGGTGAAGGTCCCAGCTGAGGCTGGTCAGGGCCATCAAGGACTATCAGTGCCTTGGTACCTGATCCCCTCCAGACCTTCAGCAGGAGTGGTTAAAGGTGTTGTTATTCAACATTTATCCAAGAAAACCGCTAGAGATCCCTTACTTAGCTAGCGTACTCCTGTTAATGGAACCCCAAAACACTAGAATCCTAAACTTCAAAGCAGGATTCCACATGGAAGTTCATTACCTTCTTTCATAGGTGGAAGTAAGCACAGTTCCATCAGGTCCCTTTGGAATGATCCCAACCCAGAGCTGGTGTTTATCAATCACATGAGGATTCTCCAGGCAAACAGGAAAAGGGCTGGAGAAAAAAAGAGGAAGATCCCAGTCATACCCATTATATGATTCCCTACCAGTTCCAGAACCATAGAATCATAGAATGGTTTGGTTGGAAGAAACCTTAAAGCTCATCTCATTCCACCTCCTGCCATGGGCAGAGACACCTTCCACTATCCCAGGCTGCTCCAAGCCCCATCCAGCCTGGCCTTGGACACTCCCAGGGATGGGGCAGCCACAGCTTCTCTGGGCAAACAGAACCCTTTAAAATCCTGAGACAAAACCAGAGCAGACTGCATTTGTCAGGAATGGCAGTGTTCCCACATGCAGGTACTCACATCTGCATTTCCATTGTAAATGATGAGAGGGGGGAGAGGGTCCCACTGGTGAGGATGATTGTCCTGACTCCCTGCCGGACGAGCTCGTGCATGCTGTACCCAGGGCTGAAACACCAATAGCTTAAAGTCTTCCCTGCATTAAATAAAGAGAAAACACTAAGAAATCAGTCAAAGTGGAAAAACTAGACTATGACCAGCACATGGCACATTGCACCTGAACTTCTGAGAGTAAACCAGACACCATCCAAACTTAAAATTCCTGATGTATGGTATGTCCTGCTTTGGTTTTTCCCAGATTTAATGACTTTTAATTAAAACATCACTGCTTCCTCATAATCTAATAAGAATGTATGTCCAACCTTGCACTGGCTTGAAAAAATAATCCCTTCTCTATGAGGAATTTCCATTATAACTATATAGGCTATAAATCTTTCACCTGAACTCCCCATTTTCCCCAGAGTCATCTCCCAAACGTTTCAATTTCTGCTCAAATCTTTTGTGGGATGTGGTGACATACATATATATGTACACACATATATATACATATATAGATATACACACACATATATATATATTTTAGTGTGTGACTCTGAAAAATATGTTATCAACAGAAAGAATATTAAGAAAAATAAATCACATCAGCAATTTCTTTCATTGCTCAGCTCAAGCTTGCTGAAAGCTGCATCAGCTTGTCAGAGACACAGGCACACGGGAATTAAAAAAATATCCATGTCAAGAACAAGAGCGGCCAAATGAAACATCAGCTTTTGTTTCTGTTTCTGATTCTGCTTTTCGTGCTTAGTTTCAGTAATAAAAATAAATATCTCTCACCCAGATATCATGTGCATTTCTTTGAAATTTACACACGTCAATCAAAGCCTTCATTTCCAAAAGAAAAAGCTGTTGCTTTCAGGAAATCCCCACTAATACTTGCCCAGTGAGTCACTGCTTAGAATTACAAGTGAACATTTAGCTAAAAGTTTTACCCTTCCATCTCATGTGGACACACACATCCAGACAATGCCTAACTTCTAGAAGACTCACATTCCAAAATTCAGCAAATTCCCTATCTTTCTAACTCACACTAACAATTGGTGCAAATTAGTTTGGACAAGCCAGTGAGTATCTACAGACAAGAACAAAATCACTCAGCCAGGAACCCAAGAAATCCCAGCACGAAACCAAACTGGGCTGATGTGGGATGGCCTGGAAAAGGAGACCAGCCCCTCATGTCTGCTCCTCCAGTGCTCAGCTGCAAACACTTTTCTGTCACCCAGCATGACAACTACCAGGCACCAGTTCCCAGTTCCTGGACAAGTTGGGACTGCTCTGAATTTTTAGCCTGGTGTGCTGCAATTATGTCTTTAAGCTTAGCAACAATAAATCCATTTTCAAGGTCCCATTCACCAGCAGGAAATATTGGGCATTAAACAAAGCTGATCTCTTTTTCCATTCCTGGTACAAGGACAGCTAATGCAAGGAGAAATGGCTTGCTAACAGTTTACAACATGATGATTTAGAGCAAGCCATGAATGGGAGCATTTTAACTTAATGTTAAACTGCAACAGTGAAATATTGTTGACATAAACAGCATCTGTTCCCAGATGACTCAGGCAGGAATCTCATCAGCTACCCCAAAGCTTCTCCCCACCAACTACTTTGTAGAGAATGATGTTTGAGTGGATAATGTCCACAAAATCCTGGAAAACAGCTGTTCTTAAATGTTTGAATTATTTCTATACCATTTGCTATATCATTACAGGAAACCAGGCTGCATAAACTCCATCTAACGTGTCTGGCCTCTGCCAGGCTTACACAAAGCACAAGTCTCAGCACACTCAGGTGTGTTACACAGGTACTTACAAATACTGTTCTTATTTGGAAAGAAAAAATCAGAATCCATCTACTGAATCACAGAATTCTCTCACTGCTTTGTACTTCTGTGTATAAATGCTCCAAACTGCGCAATTAACCTAAAAATGTTTGTATTAGCCTCTTCCTGCACACATCTTTAACCAAATCCACTCAGAATTATTCCTGTATCTTAAAACTCCAATTGAGGAATATCTCAGGAAAACTACATTTGCAGATTACCTAACAGCACTAACTCCCCTTAATTAAGGGGACATTATGTGCAAACTCAGTAAATTCTTGGAAATTCATTATTTAAAAAATGTTACTTTTGTCCTTAGAAGAAAGACTTGCCTGAAACAGATAATTACACACTCATGAGCACTTAACTGAGTAATTAAGTAGATAGTTATGAGGCAAAGTATTTAGAAAAATCCTTGAAGAGTGCTCTGTTAAGAAGGCTTAGGTAAAGGGATCTGCATCTGTCTTCTCTAATTGAAAATGTATTGCTTTCAACTTAATTATTTAAAAATTTAATTAAAAAATCAGAAAGAATGAATGCTGCAGTCCAACAAAGCCAAGCTGGGTGCTGCTTTATAGGAGCATTAGGATAAGGCTTTGATTCAGAAGCCAAGTTTCTTTTCTTCTAAATATAATATATGGTTTTGAAGAGTAGTTATATTGAGGTAATTCCAGATACTGGGATCTGCAGAACATAAGGAACAAAACAGGTGGGAGAAGATTGCCAAAGACAGGGAAAAATCCCAGTTGAACTGGAAAGCTGAAACTATCAGGAACTAACAACACACCCCGAAAGTTGCTCAAAGTAGGAGATTCCAAAAAGGTAAACATGCCCCAAGGCAAGGCATTCTGCCTAAGAATTCACAATGATCTGGACAAGATCACTGGCACATCACATGAAACTTCCCTACAGAGCTCCAAAAATGAACCAACAAACTGTAGCACCTCCACAATGTAAATCATTTGAACAGAGAATGGATTTAACTCTTCTACCACCTCTGACAAACATTTTTGCCACCATAACTGTACCTGAACCCCCCTTCTTGCCAGCTTTATTCAACACCAATTTTGTGTTTAACTCAACAGTTGTAGCTGTTATGAGGAGAACAGAACCTGTCATGAACATCAGTAGCAACCTGAGGCTTGGAGGAGAGTTCCCCATTCTTGGCTGCTCTGAAGATTTTCTCTGCACCAGTACAAACAATTCCATGATGGAGATGATCTTTTTCCACCAAAATCATTGCCCTAAAAGAACTCCAGCAGTGCACAAAATACCAATGGTACAAGAAATTTTTATGTTGAGATGGCACATGCCACCTCCCCTTCAGAAATAGCTATAAAAGTGAAAAGCTTGTCCCCAGTTCATTGTATCCACAATGGAGCTGCACTTGTTTTCTTCTATTTGAATCAGAAATGAACAGTTGAGGAGTTTTCAATGCAGCTTTTGCATGAACCTCCCCAAGAACAGTCCTGTACCTTGTTTTTTTGAAGATGATGAGTTCCAGAGATCTGTCCTTTGTTTCTTTTTCTGATTACCATTATCCACATGAATATGTACCTGAAGGAAAGTAACAAACATTTCTAGCAATGGCTGCAGAAACAAACTTGAAGTTCACCCCTCAAAAAAACCTGGCCTACATTAAGAGTAATGAATGCAATTAGTGCCACTTTTACAGTGTTATTAAGGTTATACCATTTCCTGTCTCTTTGCTATTTTGCTTCCAATATTTCATAACTAAGGAGCAAAAAAGTGCATCACCATCCAACCAGTCATTTTGGAGTCAGATGTTGGGAGCAGCTTTTCATGGGCTGACCCAAGCAGAGACCAAGACCCCAATTATTTGGGTATTTCCACCAGCATAAACCACACAAATTAAATGTAGCACGTAGAACACTATTGTGGTGGAAAGATTTGCTTCATTTGGCAACAAAAATAGTATAAAGTCTAAATGTGACATCTACAAAAAGATCTGTTCCTAAAATTCATCATAACAACACATCCCATAAATTCCAAACTTTAAACAAATTAAAACAACTTTAGGGAGGAGGTTCAGTGGTTCTGCTGCTTTTGCTTAGCACTGGGCTAAACTAAAAAGACATTACTGAAAGAACACCTTGATTCTTGTTTAATATCCAATTTCAAAATTTTCTGAAATTTCCATTCTCTGCCCTTTCATAATTTAATTTACAAATTCATTTTTAAATTGTGGTTGTCTTCAGAATCTAAATTAAATACCATTCCTTTGGTTGTTTTTTCTTTGGGTTGTGTCCTCTTTTTTCTCCCTGTAATCAACATCATGTGTTGCACTATCCACATCCTTCCAAGTCTGAGACACACGAAGCACAGACATTAAATGCTGTGAGGACAAGTGCAGCACACAAAGCCTCCCATACCTTGTAATATTTAGATACTGCCTGACGTGGCAGGAACCCTGTTGTGACTCCTTCTGGGGGATCCATGCTGAACACTGTCTGCAAAATGGAGGGAAACAGAATCACAGAATTATTTATGTTGGGAATTACCTCCAAGACGGTTGAGTCCAAGCTGTGACTGATCCCCACCTTGTCACCAGCCCAGAGCACTGAGTGCCACATCCAGGCATTCCTCCAACACCTCCAGGGATGGGAATTCCACCACACCCTGGGCAGCCCCTTCCAATGCCTGACAACCCTTTCCATGAAGAAATTCTTCCTGATGTCCAACCTGAACTTCTCTGACACTGCATGAGGTCATGTCCTCTTCTCCTGTCCCTTGTTAACTGGGAGCAGAGCCTGACCCCCACGTGGCTGCTCCCTCCTGTCAGGGAGCCGTGAGGGTGAGAAGGTCCCCCCTGAGCCTCCTCTTCTCCAGGCTGAGCCCCCTCAGCTCCCTCAGCCTCTCTGGTGCTCAGCCCCTTCCCCAGCTCTGTTCCCTTTCCTGGACATGCTCCAGCCCCTCAATGTCCTTCTTGTCATGAGGGGCTCAGAACTGGACACAGGACTTGAGGTGAGAGCTCACCATTGCCCAGCCCAGAGGGACAATGACCTCCCTGATCCTGCTGGCCACATTATCTTTGATAAATACATACAGATGCATCCTTTTGGTAAAATCCCTAATGTGTTTTTGCACTGAGAAGTGTCTGCACAAAAGTTACTGCTGCAATATCCTTAAATTTATTTCATTACTCTTGTTATCAGACAAGACAGAGAACCTTGAATAAATGTGGTTCTTCCAGGCAATTCCTGCTACCCACATTGTGCTCTCATTGTTCCAAAAACTGCAAGCCAGTATCTAAATATACTCAAATTATACAAATGATAATATCATTATTCACACTGTTCATGACTGTGGATAAACAACCACCCTAAGGAGATCAGTCACAACCAAGCATAGAAGAGCTTTTTGAGGTCCTTCAGTTTAAAATTTCATCTGTGGTTCCTCAGCTAATAACACTCTGCTTAGAAAAATAATCAAGTTGTAATCATATCTAATTATCCATATATTCAATTAGAAGCTTCTATCAGAGTTATGCTTTCCCCTCCTTTCCTGCATGTGATGTCTCATGACTACAGATGATGCTCTTTCAAACATAAGGCATCCCAGTGCAACTTCAGTGAAAACAGCTGTGATTCTCAAATATTTACAGCTCTGTTAATTTTTCTAAACAAAATTTCTCCAGACATTGATAGGAATTACCCAAGCTCATAAGAGTATCAGCTAGTTACAAGATGTTCTCCAGCAATTAAAAAAAAAAGCACAGTTCCTGGAAATATTTACTCCTGAAAAACAGCCAAAGATATGGTGTACAAAAGGCATTTTGGTAAGTGTTCTTTGAAAAGGAAGAAAAAATTACTATTAATTAAAACAAGCTGGTGATAAATTAAGACCCAAGGCTCTGCAAGAAGCAAACACTGTTTACCCAACAAAAACTCTGTCCATGTCCCATCTATCTCAAGATGGCAAACCTTCCCTGGCAGATCCTTTGCAGGCACTGTCCACGTGCATGTGCTCAGGGCAGAAAAGGGATCTGAGCTTTCTCCTCCAAAGACAAATCTGCTTTTCTCTATCCACAGCCCAAAAGAGCACACACAATTATTCCCAGTCTTGGACAACAGCCTGGGATCAGGGGACCTGGTTTCTACTTCTGAATTTTCTCATCTCTCAGCTTTGAAACCCTGAGGAACCAATTTAAGTTAGGCTCACCCGGCCTTCCTCAGAACAGCAACATCTCCCAGTACAAACCATTTGGTACCAGTGAACATAAATCACTACTGCTACACTGGAACACACATGAAGGTTTTGTTTAACCACTGCTATTAAAATGAAATCCTGTGAATGCCACTGTGAATGCACCCTCACAAACGCCCATGCATTCAGAGTTCAGTGCTGCAAACCTGCCAGGACTATTCAAAACACTCCCAGGTGACTTGTCTGATCATACAGGTCTGCAAGGTTTGAATAAAGTTTTCATTTTCAGTTTTAAACAGGGTGTTAATCTCTGGTGCCCTTTTGCACACATAGATCAGACCACTGGCCCACTGCACCTCTGAAGTTTATGGGACTTGGGATCTTCATAAGCAAAGTTTTGGAAGTACACAACAGGGAAATGACAATATTTTGTGGATACCCACAAGTGTCACCTTCAGTTCAGAAAATATTTTTGCTTTAGACATCTCATAAGTTAATAATTAAATGAAAAAAATAATGTTAAATTATCTTTAGTTAGCTCTTTTCCTTAGCCTTTCTTGTTATTTCATTAGATGATCTCATATTCTCAAACACTGCTGCAAACAAGTTCAATGACCCAGCTCCACCTGGTGGATGCTAAGCCCAGGCAAAATTTAAATCCAGCATCTCCAAAAAGGGAGACCAGAACTACAAAAGAACAGCCTGGGTAAAAATCAGATTAATCCATCCCATCAGGCAGCAGCTTTTTCCTCAAAAATGGCAAACTTGCACCATTGCACATCCCAGCAAGAATAAAATTGATCCAATATCTTTCCACATATTTTAAACCAACTCTTCTATCCTTCAGATATGTATAGAAGCAGCATTAAATATTTACCTGGATAATATCTGAGACCTTATGCAATCCAGATGTATTGACAAATATCCCAGTACCTGGAGAAAGCAACACAAGACTACTCTTAAAACATAAATATACACCCTCTGGGTATAGCCACACCTTATCTGAACAGCTCAACACTCTGAATATGACTTGAAAATATTTTCAGAAACAAATAATTTATTTCAAGTTTTTCATCATTACTCAAGACGCAAAGAGAATATAAAAATGGCATTCCATGTCTGACACATTGGGAAGCTGTCAGAAAATTAAATACACTTCTTAATGATCCTCTTCATCTTAAAAATGGGAAAGGAGTTATTAAAGCAGCAATTAGAGGAGCAGTTAACATATGAAATACACTGATGGTGGGGATTTTGCAGCAGAAATTATCAACAGATGCACTTGTCAGGCCAGAATGCAAATGGCCTAAAAGGAGAAAGGTGCTGGGCAAAGAAAAAAGGAAAGGTGGATGTGTTGTTCAAGGATGCCCTTGCAGAACTGACAGTCTGTATTCTACTCCCTTCAATGTTTTTTCTGAAGAGTCTGCTGGTAAGTGCTAAATAATTTTCTTAACATTTGTAGAAGTTGAAACATTTTCTTTATAGAAGAGCAAGTTAAGAATAAGATGCTGACAGACATTAGAACAGAAGCTTGTTAAATCAAGGGGAAAAAAATTACACTATTCTCTACATTCCTGTTTTTTAACTCCACGACCAAGGAAGAACTCAAGACATGAAAAGTACCACCAGCAAAACGTCAGCAAACTTCACACCACAATCCATGTGGTTTTGGAGAAAAACTGTGTCTGTGCAAAAGTCCTCTGTGTGCATGGATGGACCCAAACACAGGTACACACTCCTGTTTTGACATAAGGTGGTTCTCAGCATCAGTTCAGTTACATGAACAGACATAAAATATGTTTCCCAGCAGAGGACCCTGCATATCTTAATAAAAGGACACAGGTCTTTAAGGTCAGATTTTAGCTTATAGAGGCTTTCTCATTTGATTGTCTCCCTTAACAACACAAATTTCCAGTTCCTTACACTAAAGAGGAAAGTCTGAGTAAAAAAGTTTAAAAATTCATGCACTTACGGCCTGAAAGAAACTGTAAAATCTGCTCCAGTGACTCCAAGAGGGAGCATTTGGTCTGCAGTGTTATTTGGGCCTGTGCAAACAGATCAAAGATGTAGCTGCAATTTACAAAAAAGAAAAAAAAAAGCAGAAATGGGTAAACACTATAAAGAATCAAATAGGCACAAATAATGTTACTCTTTCAGAACAACAATTTCACTATCATGTAGTAAAACATGTTTCTGTCTCCATGAGAATGAAAAATTTCCAAAAATAAAATTAAGTACTTGCTTATAAAGACAGTGCACGATACTGCCATGGCAGAAAGCACACAGACCACACAATTCCCTTTTTCCATCATTCCTCTCCAACATACAATCCATTACTAACTTAGAAGAAGATTGGCATGCAATTTCCATGATTTTTTTTTTACCATGTACAACAGGCACCAGTTTAATAATGGACTTCTAGAGCTCAGAGGTACCTCAGACACATCACTGGAGCACTGGTACCTCTGCTTAAATCACGACACAAAATTGAAAGAAGCACAGCTTCTTCCAGCTCAGGAAACCCAAGCAAAGTATTTTCCACTCTTGAAATACTAAAACAGGGAGTTCCTCCAAAAATAATGATTACTACAGATAGGGGATTTCAGGAAAACCAAAACCTTGCATAAATACTATTCCCAGAAACGAGAATAGAGCTATAACCCAAACAGCTGCCCCAGCTCCAATTTGCTGTTCTTTTTAACATTTAAACACACTAATGAGAAGAAAATTACCTTCCCTCTTTGGTGACTCCATTACCATTTGCTGGCAGCTCCACTGCATCAATAGCACTTTCAAGCTGAAGAAGAATTTCTTTAGGAAAATTAAGAGGAAAAAGTTAGGGTGCACAGCAAGTCATGTCTGGGACACATCTAAGTCACTTTTTCAAATGTACTTTATTACAAAGGCTGTTACAAAAGACAGCAGCCCAGCTGTTCTCTCAACTCTGTAAACAAACCAAAATGATCAAAACCAATTTCCTGGATACCACCTTTAAATATTCATATTCAACTCCAAGAACTTCCATGACTCAATTCCTAATGAAGAAGAAGTCAGCAGCTAAATGTTAAACTCTTTACAGACAGGGAAAGTTGTTCTTGGAAATGCTTTGTATACATGAGATATCTCAAGCTCTTGATGTGAACTTCAGGTTCTGACAGCAGAATGATGCAATTCCAGCACGCTGACAAGATTAGAAAACATGGGAACTTCTAGCAACGAAGGAAAAGACATATTCATCTGCCAAATCCCTCTTCTTGGAAAAAAACTAACATTCCAAAAAGTTCTTGGGAAAAGCCAGATAAAACTGAAGTGTCAATGAATGTCTCAGTTATAAGTAATGTATAGCAATGCTACATGAGCTTGATTTGTAATTGCTGACCTTTTCAAACTGTTTCAACAACAATTTTCAACACCACAAAAATTACACTTACTCTTGATCTTTGCTATATCTTCCAGTTCCATGTTCAGTCCTGTTGAAAAAAAGTGAAGACTTCAAAGAGGTTGTTTCACATCTATTTCATTCCCAGTTTCTTTATGCCTTTCCAGAAATTATGGCTATGAATGTTAGAATTGTGTCCATGGAAAGATATTTTTTGTGTTCCCCTCACTGTTCCATAGCCTCTCATGTCACACTGGTTTGATCAAATCTTCCAGTGTCTGGCAACAATCACTAATTAACAACAGTTTACATACTAGCAAGAGTGTAAATTACCCAGAAACTTTCCCTAAAAGTTATTTTCCAGTTCTTGGTAGTGATACTTTATAATTCCAGAGAGACAGTGATGTGTCACTGTTAACACACCTGAACTGGCCAACTCCATGTTGAATTCAGCATTGATTTCATTCTGTTGAACCACCTTGGCTTGCTCCTCCAGGACAATATTTATTGCATCCATTGCTGAAGCCAGATCATAGGGAGTCAAGTCAAAAGAAGAGGACTCCTCACACAACTTCTCCTAAAATAGAAGGAATGGAAGAATTATTCTGACCACTCTGTGTGCTGTTTATTCAGGCACCTTCAGACATGATGAAGTCCAGACAACCAGGCCTGATCTTATTTTTGATCTCCAGCTCAGGCCAGAAGATATTTTATAAACACCTGAAGACTTTGACTATTAATAAACATAATTCTTTCTGAAATGTAGAACAGATTTTTCCTCTTCCACATCATCAACATTCTAGAGAGTACAGACAGTAATTGCCTGATGTTCAAGCAGGAAATTCTTTTACTTAGACAATTGGTTTGTTCTTCAAAAAAGCTATTTCTCTACTTTCTGTTTTAAAAGTAGTAATGGCTTAAACACTCAGGATTAGTAAGTTTGACAAAACTTTCTCTGACTTTGAAAATTAAATCACATATTGCTTTGCAAGAAATTTTCTTTCACAAAAAGATTCATTTCCCTGATGATAAAATATAAGGCCTAACCTAGACAAATATTTGACTGTAATAGCTATGAAGAAATAAGTTATAAAGAAAACAAGTGCTGAGCGAGCTGCATGCGTAAGCAATCTAATCAGAAAGAAATTAATTTTATTTCAGGGTAATAACTAAATTTCCACATATTAATTTGGAAGAGACAGCACCATCAGATAACTATTGCAAAAGGAGAAGCTATTCTGGCTAATTGCTGCATGCAGGCATCAATTAATACTTGCACACTACAAAGGGAAAAATAAATCCAAGCCCCAAACAACCATGACAGGATTTCCACACATTTTTTCAGCAGAAAGATGTTCTGATGAAAGGAACAAAGCCTGGATGCAGCAATGCAAGGCTCTCCAGTGAAACAGAGCAGACCCGGTGGCTGTTTACTGAAAGGACACCAGGCACTCAGACAATAAAACCACAGCTGTTCAGCAGAAATCCCACTGGGAGACTGTGTCTTCATGTGGCAGAGAAAGGGACATATTTCAAATGTTCCTTTGCATTTCATCATTTAGGAAAAGAGCTGCAGTTTCAAGCCAGCTAAAAGGAAGAACTCCTAAGGCAGCATTATTTATTTTTTTCTTGTTTTCCTCTATGAGTGAGGACTTGGAAATATTACAAGAGTCCTGTTTGCCATCTACTGCACTTGGCAGAGCTGATGCAGCTGAGCTTCAAGAGTGGGTCTTCCATGATTTCTTACACAATGTTTTCTTAGAAGTCTCCAAGAAAAGAAGCACCTCATAAATCTGGAAATGTACCCTTTAGAAAGAAACCATCACCTCGTAAAAAAAAAAAAATCAGCAGTGTCAAAGGACTGTTAATTCAACTACAAAAATTTAACTGTCACAGAAACAAGAAATGTTCATGAAAATGAATATTAGCAACATTCACCTGAGTACAGATTTTATAGGCTGTTGGTAATAGGATGGTGTCTGTTTTACTCTTTGGGTGCAGATTGAAAATGGTAACAGACCAAAACAACTCACCACATTGTGAGCTTCATCGAGTATCACCACAGTCCCCTTCAGGTCCAAGTTGTGGGATTTCCTGCTCTAAAGACAAAATCAGAACAAGGACATGGACAAAAAGGCCACTGAAAAATTTGGATTTGATTGGCTGAGAAAGTGGATGATGAGATACTTTTTGGGTTTTCATGTATTTTGAAGCTGGGTTGGTTTTTTCCTTTGCAAAACCAGCAAGTAATGGCAGTGGCTGCCTGCTGCAGAAACCACAGAATCACTTTCTCTGGAAATGAAAGTGCTAAAATGTATCATGTAAATGTTTACAGAGGTTACAGTTTGTAATAAAAAAACCAAACCCCAGGTGTGCCATACTGGGATTAGTTCAACTAATTTAAGAAAGTTTATCTATTAATTTGAGTCACTTGGAGTCTCTATGGCAAAAGAGATCTGGGAGAAGTGGGGTGTGAAGCAGAGGATTTGCCTCATATTTACAATTTGATGCTTGTGTTGCCTTTGCAAGTGGATATCCTGGACACACCCCCTCCAGTACCACATCACTTCATTTCACAATGCTTCTCTGCTTATAGGGCTTAAGGGATCTTTTTAATTTATTTTTTAATTTATTAAACTTTCAGTCTTCCTGCAGCAGTGGGGTGCAATCTGGCTTTTACTATAATTCATTAATTACTCCAAGTTGCATGAAGATGTCAGCACATTTGTTTCCTCAACAGAGATTTCAAAGGTTTCACTTCCTATCCATAAAATACAAACAGCTTATTACAACTGTTTGTACACAAAACCAGAAATTATTTCCAAGTTTCTACTGAAAGCTTCCTTATTCTGAAAATCATGCAACAGCTGCAGAAACAAAAACACCTCAGATTGCATGCAAAAATACTGCACAGTGTGTGACTAAAAATTTGTGTCCAGGAAGTGAAATTCAGCTAAAAATGGCACTACATTCTGCAAAGCTAATTCTACAAATATAGAAAAATCTCAAACTTTCTTTTTTCTTTTTTTTTAATAAGAAAGAATTTGCAGAGAAAACCCCTAAATGGTATCCTCTATGGTCCTGAACTATGGTCAGTTTTGAATCATACATAATGCATCCACTTGCCAGGCATCACTCTTCATTCTTTATCCACTAAAAGCCAATGTTAGACAATCAGAAAAACAACAGTATTTAAAACAAAATTATATGTTACCTTTGAGTCCAGTAAATAGTTGTAAGGCATAAAAATAATGTCTGCTTGTTGCTTCAGGCTTCGAGAGAGATAATAAGGACAAGATCTGTTTAAAAAAACCAAAACAGTACAGTAAAATGCTTGCAGAAATATTAAAAGGGCATTCAACATTGATGTACTCTGATACACAAATGGATTAATAAAAGTGAACAGAGGAACAATTCCCATTATTTTCACAAGTCAGGGGGAGGAAGGAGGAAGCACTCACCTGTGCTTGTTTCCATTTTTAACCAAGTCTTCAATATCCATGATTGACTCAATGAGTTCTTTCTCTGTACTCTTTTCTGTAAAAGATGACATTAAAACCACCAGTTTAGGTGAAGGCATCACACAAAGATTTGTTGTTACCCTGATCATCAAACTCATCCACTAATATCTCATTCTTGAAACACAGTAACACAGAAAAACACAGGTGGATTTTGCCAACTCTTCCAAGCCTCTCCACCTGCCTAGCAAACCCCTCCCTCTTCAAAAACCAGGGCTTTGCTTCCAAGGGGAAGTGAGGGTGAGCCACACTCACCTTCCACGTTGTTATAGAAATGACAAGCACGAGCCATCACTTTCATTCTGCACATGTAGATCTGTAAAACAAAGCCTATTTCAGCCCAGAGTAGCACAGCTTGTCAGGCCCTGAAAGCAGGTTAAGGAGTGAAATCAGCTCTAACACCAGCTAATGAATAAATGCTAATCACAGTTCTTCAGCTTTGAAACCACATGCCCTGCTCACCTTGCAAGTTAGTCTCTTTTTTGTGCAGCACAGAACATTCACATGCTCAAGAAAAATGTGTTATGTTTTACCATTAATACTTTTCAAAACAGTAATCTTTGATATTGTAAAAATAACAGCTAAATCAATAACTGAAGCAATGTTTTGAAATTATTACTGCTCTTGGCAAACACATAAATAGCAGATCAGAAACTACAAATTATTAACTGTCATGTTCTACACAGTGATATCTTTCTCTGGATAGAAAATGTCACCAGAGACTCAGAATTACATTTTGCACTCACATAACTGGAAACTAAACATCCCTAAAAAGACATTTACAACTACTGTGTTTCCCTGCAGCCTCTCGTAGTTAAACAATGTCAGAGTGAAGAATGACACAGAAATGACACAAAAGCCTCCATGTTCTCCCTGAGCATCCTCTCCAGGCTCTGATCTCACCTGCATGTGGTTGCCCTCCTGTCGCTTCACTTCAGGATTGATGCAGAGCTGCTCCCTGGACCCCAGCACACAAACCTTTGGCCTGGAGACACAAAACTGACATTAAAAATAAGGCAAGAAAGAACAGAGTTGTACGTGCTTAGATTCAATATCTCCAAAGTGAAAGACTCAGGAGAAAGAGATGAGCCCAAAGCAAGGGTCGGAGCCAGAACAAGTCCATTAGTCTGTCTGTGTTACTGGACTTTGAGGCACTGCATCTCTGCTGCCAGCAGTGGCTGTTAATAAGCAGCAGCAGCTCACAGCAAGAAGTCACAAGCAGCAATTTGCACCATCCACCACAAAATCTGGGTTCTGTTATGACAGCTCAGCCCAGGCAGCTGGGGCCTGTCATCCATTGCAAGTTTTTCCCGGTTGGTTGTGATGTTCAGAGCAAGGTTAGGACAGAACTGGTTCACTGCAAACATTCACCATGGTTTGGGCTTTTTTGCTTATTACTAAGTTGTATCCTTCCAAGAACTACATAAACAATTGACTATGCCTGTCCAAAGAGCTCAGCCACACACTGGCATGTAGACAGCTGAAAACTGTGACAGGAAAACTGTCACTGGTGCAACAGGACCACGAAGTTCTTCATAGATTTACATCAGCCTAAGGAGTTCAACTTGGTAATGGCTTCCCACTGCCTTAAAGATGCCCCCAGAAATATATAAAGAGGGAAAATTAAAAAAGGTAATTTTATAAGTTAATGTGTAAAATAAAAAACCAAAACCAGACTAAATTCCGAAAATTCTGTGACTGAAGGAGTGAAGCTGTGAAGTATTAAAATAAACCAAACCCATCAATAAAGAAAACCAGATTCTAAACATGCACATTAAAGGATCTACATTTCTCTGGATATCATCTTTTATGCATTCATCCACAGAATTTCAAACAATAACTACACTAGAGGGGTTTCCTCTACCTTTTCTTTGAATAAGGACACTACCCTAAATTATACTCACCTGTACACTGTGTTCTTTAGCTCATTAATGACCTGTGTAAGCTGGGAGTGAGTCCTGGAGGCATAAATTATTTTGGGAATGTCAGTGTAATAAGCTGCCAAATAGAAAGAGAAAAAAAAAAGGCAGAAAGACATTATAAGCATAGAAAGGAGAACTAGGGATATTCTTAGCCTCCTTCCCCAGCTGGTACTATGGTAACAGTTTGTCTTGTAGAGACAGCAGGAAATGCTGTCATCTAACTATTCACATACATAAAATGAGCTAAATGATTTTCTAAGAAACTAAAGAACTAAATGAGCTCCAAAAAAAATTCAAACTACATAAAACACCTTGAAAATGTACAAAATGGTGAAACTGTGCTCCAGCTGCTCAACAACAGCTCTGCAACTTGTATAATTGTATATTTATTACAAAAGATGGATAAAGGCACGTGCTGACTACCATCCCTGAGCACAGAGGTGGTGGCACTCACTTGGGACATCTCCATCTGTGGCAGCAGTGCCCCAGGAGGACACAGGTCTGTCAGGAAAGAGCTCCACGCCGTTCATGCGCTGCGCGATTTTCCGGGCTGAGATGGTGTCCTTGAAGTGCTCCCGCCAGGCCAGGGTGGAGCACAGCAGGCACAGGGTCTTCCCTGTGCCTGTGGGGCTCTCCAAAATGCCATTTACCTTCTTTGGTGGAGAGAAATAAGAGAGGGATTTAAGGGTTCAGTAGGACAGGTCTTGGTGCAGCACTACGTGTTCTCCGCCAAGGAGCAAACAGCAGCTGGCAGCCCCACCAAGGAACACCCACACTCGAGGTCTAATCAACTGTAGAACCCTCTAATTATCTTAATGAGGTTCAATCAAAAACCCGGAGCCAGCCATCAGATTTATTTAGCACAGGAATTCAAGTTTCCACTCTTAGAGCCATTGAAGTGTGTCACATTACAGCATAAAATTACTGGGAAAAAACTATTTTATTATTTTGACATTCATTCTTTAAAATTATCCTCTCACACAGCAAATGGAAAAGTATACAAATAGCCAAAATATTAACAAGACAAGACCAAATCCCCCCTAGGAGGAAAGGCTGAGACAATTGGGATTGTTCAGCCTGGAGAACAGAAGACTCCAAGGTGACCTAATTGGGACCTTCCAGTTTCTGAAGGGGGCCACAAGAAACATGGAAAGGGACTTTTTACAAGGACCTGTAGTAACAGGACAAGGAAGAATGGATTCCTACTGAAAGAGATTAGGTTAATATTGGAGAATAAGAAGAAATTGTTCCCTGTAAGATGGAGAGGCTCTGGCACAGGGTGCCCAGAGAAGCTGCCCCATCCCTGGAAGTGTCCAAGGCCAGGTTGGATGGGGTTTGGAGCAGCCTGGGAGAGTGGAAGGTGTCCCTGCCCATTGGAGGGGGTTGGAACAAGGTGAATTTTAATGTCCCTTCCAACACAAACCATTCATGATTTTGTAATCAGACCCAACCAGCCAAGGACAGACTGCATGAATACAAGCAGCCTTTCCTTTCCCAATTTAGGCAGGAACATTCCATCTATATTTCTACTGACTGCCACCTGCCAGCCACGATTTTCGTTACCACAGAGTAAAATAAAAATACAAGTAAAAAGTCAGAGAAGATTTGGAAAGGCACCATACAAAGCACATAAAGAAAACCTGAATTGTGACAAGCTCTCCTTAGAGAAACCGTTTAGTGCAGTTAGCAATGACACACAGTTGGACACTCACTCACCTTCTGCAGGCATTCCAGCACCTTGGCCATGTAGGCTTCCTGGCACGGGTAGGGCTGGAAGGGGAAATCCACTGTGATCCCGTTCAGAGTGATCCTGGGCATGGCTCCTCCCCTGAGGTGCCTGCAAGGAAGGGCAGACCGTGCTGACCCTGCTGTGGTAGTGATATCGTGCCAAGGTAGGGCTGAAAGAGACCTGGAAGTTCTCCTCATTCAACCCCTGCCATAGGCAGGGACATCTTCCACTGTCCCAGGCTGCTCCCAGCCCCATCCAACCCGGCCCTGGACACTTCCAGGGATGGGGCAGCCACAGCTTCTCTGGGCTGTCACCACCCTCAGAGGGGAGAATTTCTTCCCAATATCCAATATCTGTCCCTGCCCTCAGCCAGGCTGCAGCCGTTCCCCTTTGTCCTGCCAGGCCAGGCCCGTGTGAACCGGCTCCCTGCACCTTTCCTGCCGGCCCTCCAGGCACTGCAAGGAGCAATTGGGTCACACGGCCCCGGGACGGGCACTACAGCGGCTCCGCGGGAGCCTCACGGGCACTGGGGACCCGCTCCCGGTCCCGGGCTGCACCGCCCGCTCCGGCCCGCGTTCCCATGGTCCCAGATCCCTGTGCCCCAGGGCTCCCATGTCCCCGTGTCCCCTCAGCCCCGCAGCCACAGATCCCTGTGCCCCAGGGCTCCCATGTCCCCGTGTCCCCTCAGCCCCGCAGCCACAGATCCCTGTGCCCCAGGGCCCCCACGTCCCCGTGTCTCCATATTGCTGTGTTCCCTTGTCCCCATATCGCTGTGTCCCCGTGTCACTGTGTTCCCATGTCCCCTCAGCCCCATGGTCCCAGATCCCTGTGCCCCAGGGCTCCCATGTCCCCGTGTCTCCATACTGCTGTGTTCCCATGTTCCCGTGTCCCCGTGTCCCCTCAGCCCGGGTGTCCCAGCAGTCCCAGATCCCTGTGCTCCTGGGTTCCCATGTCCCATGTCTCCACACTGCTGTGATCCCGTGTCCCCATGTTCCCACATGTCCCCATACTGCTGTGTTCCTGTGTCCCCGTGTCGCTCTGTCCCCGTGTCCCCTCAGCCCCATGGTCCCAGATCCCTGTGCCCCAGGGCTCCCATGTCCCCCTGTCTCCATATTGCTGTGTTCCCATGCTCCTGTGTTCCCATGTCCCCATATCGCTGTGTCCCCGTGTCCCCTCAGCCCCGCGGTCCCGGCGGGGGATCCCTGTGCTCCGGGGTTCCCATGTCCCTGTACCGCTGTGTTCCTGTATCCCCTCAGCCCCGCGGTCCCAGACGCCTGTGCTCCGAGGTTCCCGTGCCCCCCGTCCCCGTGTGTCCCCCTGTCCCGGTGTCCCGGTGTCCCGGCGCTCCCTCACCGCCGCCCGCTCCGTTCGGAATCCCCGCGCCGCTGTCACGCGCCACACTCACCCGCTCGGCGCGTCACTTCCCGCGCGCGCTCTCGCGACAGCGGCGGCGTTGCCCCGGTAACGGCCGGGAAGGCGGCGGCCATGGCGGGCCCGGCCCGGGGATCCCGGCGGAGCCGGCCCGGGGTGTCGGGGAGCGAGCGGGAGTGGTGGCGGCTCCTGAGGGGCCCCGGGCAGGAGCGGCACAATCCCGCTGGGGTTTGAGCGCTGCCAGGCCTGCGGGAAGGCGGTTCCGCCGCCCAGCCAGGCCCTGTGGTTCGGCCGGGCGGTTCCGCAGCCCCTTCCCCCGGGGCGGAGGCCGAGCCTGGGCCCGCAGAGGCGGAGTGTCGGCTGTTCGCTCGCGGAAAGCTGCGTTTCCAAAGCCTCCCAGCCCTGCAGGGCCCCCGGGAGTGGCGTTTGTCCTCTCGGGAGCGGCTCGGGAGCGGTGCCCTGGCAGAGTTGTGCCCGGGCCGCGCTGCGCTTTGTGCCGGGCCCCGCTCCCCTCGGGCGTTCCTTGGGAAACCCTCGGCGTTGGAGGTGGGAGGGCTCTGTGGGTTTGTGCTGCGCTCCTGCGGTAGGGAGGTAATGAATTCTGACGGGTCTCTTTTGTTAGGGGTGAGCGTGCCGCGCCTTTGTTCCCGGCTTGTCTGCAGCACGGTGCTCCCAGCCTCCAGTCCCTGCCAGCGCATCCAGGCACATCCAGCACCGGCTCTGGCATCCCAGGTGCTCAGGCCGTGTGGCTGTGGTGGACTGCTCTGGACTGATGGATTGCCCAGTTTTGTAAGAATCTGGTTTTAATAAATGCATAGGCATGGCTTACTTGTGTCCCCAAATTGTGTAAAACTGCGTTTCATGCAGCTAGATGATAGAGAAGGCAGGAAGGAGATACTTTGTACTCATCTCTGTGGTTTATTGCTGTGTCTCATGCTGTGGCTGCATAGATGTAGAACAGGATGTGGCTTCTTTCATTGTAGCTTTAAAATGCTTTACTCCTGGCCAGCTGCACAGCTTGTTTGTGTGCAGAACAGATCTGATGTTAAAAGGAGCAAAGCTTAAACCATGTAAGTTAAGCATTGTGTGGTCTGTTCTGTTCCCAAGCTCGTGGTACCTCCTGTGTCATGGTGTCAGGTCAGGGGAGCTCATGAGTGGTGCTGTTTTTAAATTCCTCGAGCTGAACTTCCCTGGATCATAAACTCCTTTAATTGCAGGGAATGAGCTGGAGAACACTGAGTTATTCCTGTGGAACCTCGTGTGCTCCACATAAAATTTAACATCTGCTTTTGCTCATGTTTCTGACTGTGAACTCTTTACTGTGATACCAGTCACGTGTGATGAAGCTGCAAAAGAAATTGGTTTGTAAAGACTGTGAAGTGAGACTGTGGGATGAACTTTAGGGGAGAAAAAAAAAAATTAAACTCCTCATAAATACATGGAATACTCCGTTGTTGTTACTTCCTGTAAATACATATTTCCACACGGAAGAACGATATCAGTAGTGTATCAAAGGAGATTATTTTGCCTTATTTCAGTGCAGCTGATGGAAGCAGTGTCACCTGCCCAGCCCAGCAGGAGTGGCTGTGAGTCAGCAGGTGTCTGTCCAGCAGCACCGTGAGTCAGCACCCGCAGCTCCTGCAGGCTGCAGCTCTGCACCAGTGACCTCCAGGGCTGCAGGCTGCCTCCAGCCCTGCTGCTGCCCTTCTAAACACACAACAGAGGAAATGCCTTGTGAGCTTCGGGAGAAAAATACATTCCTTGTTGTGGAGGTTTAGTGAAGCTGCAGTCTCTGTTGGGATAAATGATAAATAAAGGTGTTGGTCTCACACTGGATGTCATCTTGGTGTTTGTCTGCCTAGGGTAGACCCTGAGTTCCTACAAAACCAGAGTTTGGAGAGGGGGCAGAGACTTCAAAATTGTCTGAGCAGCACTGAGAGCTGTGTGACAGCCCAGCCTGTCCCTGCCAGCCCAGCCAGGAGGAACCAGCCCATCTCCACTTCTCACTCATTCCTGGCTTTTTAGATCTTGGATAAAGTATTTTTCATTTTCAAGAAAAAGAAAAACCACGTACAAAATAAAAACCTTGTGAAAGATGGTCCTTAATCTCTGTGGGGAAGTGGCTGCAAGGGGAACACTGGTGCTGTGCAAAGGTGCAAAGTGAATCATGGCCATGTTTGTTCAGAGGTGCCCAGGCAGGATCTCTCTTTCCAGAAGAGATCCAGATGCTGCCAGAGGAGCAGCAGGAATGGGACAAAAGAGCCACAAGGGCCATCTGTGAAAGTCCTGTGGTTGGCAGGAAGGTTATCTATCTCTTTCAGATAGAGGAGGATTGAGTTGCCATTTGTTATCTTTCTTAATCTTTTGTTTGCCCCCCAAATTATTTGATTTCTTTTTACTCCTGATAGTCCAGAGCCTTTCAGTCCATTTACTCTTGGGAAGTAACAACACAGCTTTCCACCTTGACCCTCCAAATCATTTGCTCCCTGTTTCTCTCACAGTGTATTCCAGTGGGACACAGGGCCATGGCACCTTTAAACCATTCCACAGCCTCTCCTCAATAAAAGGAATAAAATATGTGCTGGATTGATGCCAAAAGATCCAGAATGTTGCAAGAGGTAGCCAGACCCTCTTGGGACTGCTGGGAACATCAAAGGCAGAGTTCATCCTGAACAGAAGGAGAAATCACTCCGGCAGTCGGGTGCCTGGGATGGCTGCCTTCCTCTGATCGTGGCAAAGGTGGTTTTGAAACACAAGATAACCTGTCAGGTCCTGGAGATTCAATCCAAGGAGGAAGTAGAGAGAGTTGGAACTACAAAACAAGGCTTGGACAGAACAGGGAGCAGTTAAAGGTCATAAAAAAACTTGCAAACACATTTTGAAAATGTGTGGATAGCGTTCATTTTATTCTGAGTTAGACATTTTCTCTATTTTTCTTTTCTTCTATGACAGTGTTATGACACTGGGAGATTGGGAAAAAATTAGGAAAATAGAAAAATCTCCAGTCTTTGTAACTGAATTTACTGTGGCTTCTACCCCTGAGCAAGCCAGAGCCCTGGCAGGTATTCCAACAACCTGTGGTTCTCTGCAGCAGCTGGAATTGTTTGGGAGTGTCTGCATTGCAGTGTGCCAGGAGATGTGTGGGTTTGGGAGGATTCCTTGCTCCCAAGTGTGTGTGTGGTGCTCTAAAAGCACAAAAGCATTGGCCTCTGGCAACAGCCAAAAAAGGAAATTATAGAAATTATAGCAAACAGACAGAAAATTGTAAGAAAAGAGGTCCTGATGCCTAGGGTGGAGGAGAAACCCAGAAAATTCTCACTGAAATTGAAAGGCTCCATTCTGCTCTTTCTCCTCTACTTTTATAGCAGTTTCCTCCCCAAACTGCAGCTCCTTTAGTGCCTCAGTGCTGGTGCAAAAAAAACCCCAACTAAAAACCTGCTGGGATCTCCCCTCCCTTTGCTGTTTGCCTAAAGCTGCTGCAAGGTTTGGGGTTTGGGTTTCACACCTCAGCCCAGTCCAGCCAGACCCCCGACCTGGCTCTGCAGGTGAGGCTGCCTTGGAATGGCTGGTTTAAAAAAAAAAAAAGAAAGAAAAAAAAAGAAGAAAAAAGACATTATTTTGCTTAAGTCTGCTTTCAGCAAGGGAAAAATCAGTTTAGCCCATCTCTAGCAGACAAGAAAGGGAGGAAGAGGAGGAAAAAAATCCTCTTTTGCCAGCGCCCGGCTGGGTGTGTCTCCCCCCCCGCCGTGGGGCTGTGTTCCTGGCAGGCAGGCTTGCCTGGGAGGGATCTGCCGTCAAAGCCACCCAGGAAAGGAGGCCTGATACGCTCATTAATATTCTGAACTAGTGACCCTTCTTTTTCTTTCCACCCCTCGCCTTTCTCTGGGCGCTCCAGCCTCTCCCCGCCGCGGATGGCTGCAGCCCCCTCCAGCTGAGTCAGTCCTCCCTCCCCGCAGCATTGCAGCACCTCCGCAGCTCCTGCGCTCCCTCCCGCTCCTGCAGCACCGCTCCGCTCCGCCGCAGCATGGCCAGCACCGTCTCAGGTAGGACCGGCGGCTTCTCGGGGGCTTCACATCAATGCGCTTCTAAAATCATCAAGTTTTATATAATTTTTATCATTATTATGAAGGTTTGGATTGGGTTTTGGTTTTTTGGTTTTTTCCCCCCGTGGGTTTCGGGGGAGTTCTGTGCTGAGGAGGCAGCTATATAGCAGCATTGTTCCCCTTCCTCCCCCATACACACACCCCTCTGATGCAAGATAGCAGGTGGGCTTTTTATTTTAATATGAATACATGTGTGATAAACTTGCCAATTTAAAATATTGCTGCCATTTCATTGTGCCATTAGAAGATGCTGCTACGTGCCAATTAAATATTATTTTTGCAATGTCGTAGAGCTTTTTTTTTGTTGTTTTCCCGAAGAAAAAAATGTACACGGTGCAGCTGGATGTAAGGAAATCAGAAATTACATTTTGTTTTGTGAAGATCATGTATTGCCTAAATGGGTAGTGGAGAGCAAAACATGGGCAAGAGTCAGTAATGCCCTAAAAAATCCCACAAAGCCAACCAGAAGAACCTGGGTGGGTTTTTGTTTATTCTTGGGGCTTTCTAGCCCCAGATTTCTTGCACAGCTCACATTTCTTGGTTGGAAGATGCTAGAGGGGAGCGGTCCTCTGATGGCGTTGGGTGAAATGAGATGCTGCAAGGGGAGCCCTTCCTCCCTCCTGCAGCAGTGCCGGCAGCCACAGCGCGGCTGCCCGGGAGCCTGCTCGGCTCTGGCTTCAGGATGGCAGCCCGGGATGCTGTGCTGCCTCGGTCCAGCTTCCTAAAGATCCCTCTTACCCCTCTGACTGGGAAGGAGGGATTGAAGTGGCTGAAATGGGAGTGTGGGTGAAGGAGAAGAAAAGCTTGAAATGGTACCATGAGCAGTGGGTGGGTTTAGAGGGTCTTTTTCTTTTAGAAAACCGATTTTTTTTTTCTTGGAATTACTCTGAATTCTGCAGCCTACAAAGAGGGGCTTGGGAGGGGGGAATGAGATGCTGGAGGGCTGAGCAGGAGTGACAGACAAAAAGGAAGAACAGGCAGTGCTTTGTGCCCCCCAGGCAGGGAACCAGCCCGCAGGAGGCCAGGCAACACTTCTTGCTTTTTTCCCTGCCTTTTGCCGAGGTTTCCTGCCATGCATTTTATTTTCCTTGCTCCTTTAAAAAGACCAGTAGATGCAGGGGGAAGAAGCACAGAGAAATGGAGGGGTGTGTATGTGGGGGGAGTGTAAGGGCGCAGCTGATCCTGGGTGGGTTTTGCATGCAGTTAAAGACATAAAACAGCACTGTAAAAATGTGTTTATGATAGAAAAACACCAGCTATTGTAGATATTCCTGCGAGTATCCCTGTCTCAATGAACGTCTGCTGCAGTGCACTCTTGGGAGGTGCCACCCATCTCCTGCCTTCCCTACCCAGCAGGATTGGACCTCGTTTGCACAGTGGGGGTGGGAGGGAAGGCTCAGACTTACCAGCCCTCCAAACCAAGGTTGCATCGAACTTGAGATGGACGAGGTGGTGGATGAAGCACACGTAGGCAGAACATGCGATCTCCAGTTGGTGCATTCTCACCCTCCCAACCCACTGCATGCCCACAGCACATCTCGTTCTCCCAAAGATGCAGTTTTACTGTCAAAGAGACTTAAGATCATGAAGAAGCGTGAAATGGGGCTTCCTTGTGACTCAGATCAAGCAGAGAAGCATTTTCAAGGAGTAGGAGGTCATGGGAAGCAGTGCTGTGGCAGGAGGGAAGAGAATAGGGTGCTGTGTGCCAAGGGAGGGTCGGGGCTGAGCCTCGCCCAGCTGCCTTTGCAGGAGCTGCTCCCATCTCCCCATCGCCTGCCGCTCTTCAGCAGCAATGGAGAGTAGCCTGGAAAGGCAGGAGAAAAAGAACGATGAATCCTTCAATTAAGGAATGAGTTTTGTTTGCCTTCTTCATTATTTCCTTCTTTATTCTCAGCAAAAGCCGATCCGAGCCGGGGGGAGGGCAGCTGCAGTCTGCGCCTGCCGCCCGGGGGCTCATCCCCCTCGGGAAGATTTCCTTGGTTCGTTCAGCCAAACAACCAAATCCTCGCGATGAGAAGAAGCAGGGCTTGCTCCGCCGAGCCTGGCTGCCCTCTCTCTTTTCTGCCTGTCACCTCGGGCGGTTTCTGGCGGCCCCGGGGGCTGTTTTCGGTGCGGGAGCCGCGGGATGGGCGGCACATGCTCAGTGCCCGTGAGCTGCGGAGCCGGCCCCGCCGCCGGGCAGCGCCTGTGGGGGCACGGCGTTTGTGGGGGCACGGCCCTTGAGGGGACAGAGCGCTTGGGGGGCACGGCCCTTGGGGGGCACAGCGCTTGAGGGGCACGGCCCTTGGGGGGGCACAGCCCTTGGGGGACACAGCGCTTGGGGGGCAGGGCCCTTGGAGGACACGGCCCTTGAGGGGGCACAACCCTTGAGAGGCACAACCCTTGAGGGGCACGGCCCTTGAGGGGACACAGCGCTTGAGGGGCACGGCCCTTGGGGGGACAGAGCGCTTGAGGGGCACGGCCCTTGGGGGGCACGGCCCTTGAGGGGACACAGCGCTTGGGGGGCACGGCCCTTGAGGGGGCACGGCCCTTGAGGGGACACGGCCCTTGGGGGGCACGACCCTTGAGGGGCACGACCCTTGAGGGGCACGGCCCTTGGGGGACACGGCCCTTGGGGGGCACGACCCTTGAGGGGCACGGCCCTTGGGGGAACACAGCGCTTGGGGGGCACAACCCTTGGGGTGCACGGCCCTTGAGGGGACAGAGCCCTTGGGGGAAACAGCCCTTGAGG